GTTCAGTACCAATACCATTTGGTACCCGGTTGCTATGTGGGCTACTATCCGAGCAGGTACGTTCCAGTGACCTCCCTGAACGAGGTTTTTGATTTTCTCTGAGATCAAGAGCGACCAGGGAGAAGAGTGTTCCAATTTCGGGTGGGCTGATCTCGGCGATGCAGGAGGAAGAGTCAATGGTGCATCTCCCGCCTACAATGTTGAGGAGATGACTTATGCCCTGAAGATCGCCAAGTCCAGGTTCTTAATAACTCTGCCAACATCCCTGGACGTGGCATTGGCGGCAGCTCGAAATGTCGGCATCCCCCGCCACCACGTCTTCCTGCTGGAAGGCAAGGCAGACGGTTGCATTAGTATCCAAGATCTCATGAAGCGCGGTGAGAAGTACACTCCCGATCCGCCCTACCAGGTACCGCGGGGCAAGACGAACAAGGATATCTGTGGGTATTTGAATTTCAGCAGCGGAACAACGGGATTGCCAAAGGCTGTGAGTACCCGCCGTATCAGACTTATATGACTGGGAGAACGGGCTGACAGAGAGGTGCAGGTTATGCTCTCGCACCACAATATCATCGCTCAGTGCCACCAGCTCAGACAAATCCAGGCTCCTGGGCGGTACAAGATCCTAGCTGTCATGCCGTTGTTCCACAGTACGTCCGGTCATTACAGGGAAGAAAGGGTGAGACTAACCATAACTCTGGATGATTTCAGTCACCGGCCTAGTGAGATTCTGCACCTACCCGATCTTCATGAATGGTGACAGTGTGATGCTCCCCTCCTTCACCATGGAATCCATGCTCCGCGCGATCTGCGAGTTTCAGATTCAAGAACTCATTCTGGTCCCGCCGATCATCATCCGCCTTGTCCGCGATAAGATTGTCGACGACTTTGATCTCCATCACGTCAATCGTTGGTCGTCGGGCTCCGCACCCATCTCGCCTGAGATAATAGCCTTGCTGCAGAAAAAGTTTCCTTGGACGGGCTTTCGTCAGGGCTACGGAGCTACGGAGTCGACATGTTGTATTTCAGCACATCCGCCTTCGCATTATGATTACAAGTACGCGACTACGGGAGGCCTGTTGGTCGCGAACACTGAAGCAAAGGTGATTGATCTGACGACCGGCAAGGAACTCGGTGTGGGCGAGACGGGGGAGATTCTTGCCAGAGGACCTCAGATCGCAATGGGGTACCTGGACAATCCGGCGGCTTCAGCGGAGACATTTGACAAAGATGGGTTCTTCCACACGGGGGACGTGGGGCATTTTGACGCCGAGGGATTGATTCACATCGAAGACCGGATCAAGGAGATGATCAAAGTCAAGGGCCTCCAGGTGCCGCCGGCGGAGCTGGAGGATCTGCTTCTCGGCCACCCCGAGGTCGAGGACTGCGCGGTGTTGGGGATCGCCGACGAGTATTCTGGCGAGCGACCCAAGGCCTACGTCGTTCTGAAGGACGGCGTCCAAGAGAGCGCCGAGATCGGGAGGCGGCTGTTGAAGTTCGTCAAGGAGAGGAAGGTGCGGTACAAGTGGATCGTCGAAATCGAGTTCACGCGCCAGGTGCCCAAGAGTCCGACGGGCAAGCTGCTCCGCCGCATCCTGAAGGTCAAGGACAAAGAAGGCAAGGATCGGGGGTTGAGGGTGAGGGACGAGCCCGAGCCGGAGAGGGCAAGGCTGTGACGGACGGAGCTGTATGCATAGCATCCATCATGTTCCGCGCGGAGGTGCCTGACCGAACCATCCACCTCCTGTTTTCACTGCGACATAAGAGATAGGGAATTGGTGTGTCTCTAGACAGATAGAACACTAGATATTCGCAGAGTACCCTACGGAGGCCAGTTTCCAGAACTCGCCGCTTAGCCTCGCCGTTGGGTTTTGATTCCCCAGGTTGCAGAAGGCCGTGGTCTGGTTTCAAGTTCCCGCGGGTGTAGTAATGGCAGTCTGGAAAGGCTGTACGCCTCCCGAATATACTATCGTACCCTCTGTACTATCTTTAGCTGTGCGGAACCGGGTCTAGGTCTTCCCTCTCTGTGCTATGACGTCGCTGCGAGCACTGCAGTATGTGTAGAAAGAACGTTTCACAGTTGGGTGGCTCGTCTGTCTACCCAGTACATGGGGAAATGAACATGTCCTCTGCGTGGTCAGTCGGCGTCGAAACAACAATGCAGGCCGTACGGGATACGAGGTCGGTAAAATGCCGCCTGTGCCTGTCTCTATCTCACCCACCGCTCATTTCGGTTGTTAGACGAACCAGGTTGGTGAAACTTGCACCATTTTGGGCAACAACTTACAGGCCCTTTACCGCGACTTCGGGTTTCTGATCCGCCTCCCTTCTCTGCTCATTGTTGCACCGGACAAGCAAGAATCGACATCTCTCTTTGAGTCAATATGGTGCTGGGCCTCAATGGAGTCTTCCACTAGCAAAGCTTTGGTCCGGGTCAAGCGGGAGCTGGTGCCCATTGAACCAAAGCCTCCGATCCTACCGTCACATGAGCCTCAAGATGGCCCGAGCAAGAGGGCAAAAAAGCCCGAACCCAAAGACTTCAAGGACATGACTCGCGAGGAGAAGCTGCTGGCCATTGTGCGCCACAGCGTCCAGCCCTTCTCCGACCGCCTGGACCCTTTCGCTGCTTTGCCGGTGAATCTGGACCGCTTCCAGGAGCACCTCATCAGCTTCTACTTGCTCTATTATCCCAAAGCGACGTATGGATTCAGTCCTCGGCTTCGTCCCCACCCGGTTGCCAGCAACTTCTCCATCGCTCTGACCACCCCAGCCTGCTTTCAGGTCATCATGGCACGATCAGCTCTATACCGGATATCGCTAAACAAATATACCACCGATACGGAGAAAAGATCGCTCGAGCTGGCCGTGATGCGGCACAAGGGCGAGGCTCTGAAAATGGTCCGGTTGTTGAGTGCTAGGTTGAGCCCCGAGCGCAAAGACGACCTCCTAGCGTCCATCATCAGTTTGGGGACCTTTGATCGACGATCCGGGTCGCAGGAAGCGGCGGGGATGCATTACCAAGCGGTGAGAAAGATTTTGAAGACGACCGGTGGTCCTCTCGCCGTCAATTCTGTGCTGTTGTCACGCGTCATGTGTTTCTTTGAGTGCATCTACGGGACGAGCCCGGAAAGCTACATCTGGGATAATTCAGATCTCAAGAGGCTGGTGCGCAGCATGAATGGCTTCCTGCGGAAGCTGTGGGAGTTTTGGCAGTCGCTGTCGACCATAAGCGCTCTGACGGCGCCGAGCTCGCGAGACGGAGCAACAGAGGCTGGAACACGACGGATACACTCCTTTGACCTTCAGGCGGGATCGACGTTGCTTGGACTGGTGTCCAGGCAGCCTCCGCGGGGTGCCGAACTCACTCAACCACGACGACTCGAGCTCATTTTCCAGCTTACTTGCCTTCTGACGCTCGGCATGATCACCATGGACCTGGCCAGCGATTTCCGGTCATTGCAGACGTACATGGACAACCTGCACCAATCCATCGAAGATCTCGGGCTTGTCGGGCAAAGCTGCAACAACGCCATGTGGCAGATTCAAGTCAACGACCACAGCGAAGCGCATAGCCGGCGGATATGGCGGGCAGCGAGTTTTGCATGGGTGATGAAGCATTGTTCGTACAACGTGCAGTTATCACTGAAGGAATGGCTGTTGGCATTTTTCACGGGCAAGCCGGTCGAGCAACTGTACCACCTGGCCTCATTTCATTTCAGCTACGCGAGTTGAGCAGTAGTACGAAGGCATGAAACAGCACCACAAACACGTGGGCGATGAATCCGAGAAGAGGCTCCAGGGGTGAGAGGTTATTAGCAGAAACACGCTGAACACGCAAGCTTCGGGGAATATCCTTTGGAACTATCGATAGCCAGAGATACGCCAATCGCAGAAAAACCGATAGAGTGTCGGTGGAATCAGTATCCCTTGCATCATGCGAGGTGGAATGCGTGACGCGAGGCCGAGGGAGAGGGCACAGTTAGTACCAGAGTACCTCGCAGTGGCGGCTCACCAGGTTTCCAATTAAAGGCGCCCTTGAACGGAATGGGGCTAGCTTGATCCAGATTGCTTCCAGGTATTTGGCTAGGGGCACCAGTGGCTCCAATGGCGCCATCTAGGGAGGCAGGCGCCCTGATGCGAGAGACACCGACCCGGCTTGCAGGCGCCAAAAGGTGCCTGGACAGCCTGGGTCGCTCATGACACGGGCGCGTTAATGCTAAGGTAGCCGTTGTTGGTGCCTACCAAGTACCCAGTATAATTCCTTACAAGCACTTGGAGGTACTTGGTAGTACCCAGTACCCAGTACTTGGAAAGAATGTCACGCCGACAGCTCAAATCGACACGAGCTGGCCCGTCGGTGCCCGCGTGCCACCCTCGCATCTCGCATCTCGCATCGAACCCGGGCCCGCCGGCAAAGCCTGCCAGGCGTAGCGAGCAGCAATCGGCTTCCCTCGACCCTGGCGACCCCTTCTAATTTCTCAATTTCTCAGTTCCTCAATGACGCCTTGGACGCCTCTGGTGTCCCGCCAACCAAACCACGGGCTCGTCACTCGTCTCCACCATCCCTTTGGATCCCTTGGCTCGTGGTCCATCTTTCTGCTGACGCTCACTCTCACCACATTACGAGGGACACCGTCCATATTACCACACCACCACCACACCACCTCTTTTCAACAATGTCTTGTTAACCCTACCTAATACCCAACACCCCTCAAGGCACAGACCTGTCTGTGTTCCCGAGGGTCGTCCTACTCATCCACTCTGACACTATGATCACCATAATGAAATACATCATCCCTTGCATGTCGTGCTGTTGAGCTTGCTTCACACATGTTCACTGTCGCTCTTTAAAGAACCACCACCCTTACGGTTGTCACTCGTTCGTTCCAACATCAAAGTCACTCGTTAGCTTCCAGCACTCGCCTCGACAGTTTTTCGATTTCGTATTTTTCGTCCTCATCTTGGAAACGCCATACATCTCTCTGCAAAGGGGAAAAAAAATGACCACCAAAGGTCCGTCAATGCGCGTGTTACCCGCAGAACAAGTACTGACAGTCTCACCGCAGACGGTGTCTCGACCATCCATGGCATCCCTACCAAATACGTCTCCCTCCTCACCCTCGTCGTCCAAAACTCCTCCCTTGTCCTTGTCATGCGATACTCCCGAATCCTGCCTGGTCCGAGATACCTGAGCTCCACTGCGGTCGTGCTTTCCGAGGTTCTTAAATGCATAATATGCTTCTGTGTCCATATCAGCGAGCAGCGGCACCATTACCGATCCTCCCGCCTTCCAACCCTCTCCAACGACGTCCCGCATCTAAATCCAACCAGCTATGGCCTGAAGCAGCTATGGACCGACATCTTCAGTGTCAAAAGTGGCTTCTTGAAGCTCCTCGTGCCTGCCGTCTTGTACACTCTCCAGAACAATCTCCAATTTGTTGCTGCCACCAACTTGGATGCCGCCACTTTCCAAGTCACCTACCAATGCAAGATCCTGACGACGGCTCTGTTTGCCGTGTGGATGCTGGGCCAGAACCTGTCGGCCCAAAAGTGGCTGGCTCTGGTGATCCTCACGGCCGGCGTGGCCTGTGTTCAGATACCTTCTTCCACCGCCACGGCCAATATCCAGCAAGGCAATTACCTGGTCGGGATCGTGGCTGTTGCGATTGCCTGCATTTGTTCCGGATTCGCAGGTGTCTATTTCGAGAAGGTCCTGAAGAACGGTCAAAGCTCGTCCATCTGGGTGCGTAACATCCAGCTGAGCATTGGCTGTCTGGCTATTGCGCTCACGGGGGCTTTCGTCTGGGACGGCCAAGCGATCCGAGAGAATGGCTTTTTCCAGGGCTATAACTCCGTCGTCTTCGCAACCGTCTGCATCCAGGCAGCAGGAGGCCTCATTGTGGCAATGGTCATCAAGTACGCCGACAACATCCTCAAGGGATTTGCGACCTCCCTCTCTATCATCCTCTCAACTGTTGCTTCCATCTTCATCTTCAACTTTGTTCCTACGATATATTTCCTGTTCGGCTCAATCTTGGTGTTCTTGGCTACCTATTTGTACAGCGTACCTGAGGCACCAAAAGCCTTTGAAACCACTGCCTCCGACCCAGCCGAAAAGAACCCAATTCTCGTGGTGGAAGATTATGATGTGGAAGACCGACTCAGCTCAATGACGACACCAAGACCGTTTCGGGATGAGAGCGACCCTGAGTCGAGCGACGAGGCGAGCCGTGACAGCATCAGCATCTATGAGGCTGACGATGGCACACATTCTCGGAATTTCTCACCGTCGTTGATCCAGCATTCTACGATGGAGAAACAAGTGCTCCCCGAGTTAGGCCATGTTGCCTAAAGAGCCCAATTGGTTGCGATGGAGCTCCCGTGGCTTCCTCGCCCTCGAACTCGTCCAACTTGCCTTTTTCCTGTCACGTGTTGTTCGAGGCGATCTATGTGATTTGACCACAAAGGGCTGGCACGTTGTCTCATGGCCTATACTACACTTCGTCTAAGGCCAGCATTTGGGAAAGAACGAGACACTGCCAAAGAAAACCAGAAATATTGTGTTTTTGTGGAAATGTGACACGACTTGGATACCGTTCACCGGCAGGAGTAAAGGAAAGGCATTATTAGAAATGATGATCAGGACCAGAATTGGATATGATGTTGAAAAGAGGCACAGGGTCATGGAAACTACGATATCCATTTCGATATTATCTAAATTATTATCCCCAGACCGTGTGCTATGGTCATGTCTGTGCATTCTCCAAGCCCGGTCCCAGAAAGCGTTGTCGTTCCTGAGTCTCCTCGGACGAGCTTTACCATACCTCCCAGTCTAACGTGCAGGGTTTCACGTCTCGATCAGGGCTAATACTAGACCAGGTTGCGTTGTGCCGTCACATTGCCATGCACCAGCTCCCTTGTGAGGAGGTTTTTGTTGGGCCGAGTCAGTGGTCGCGACGTTGGGGGTTCGTACAAGTTTAAGGGCTGCAACATGGGGAGCCTGTCTGCCTCAGGGCCCATCTCCGAACATCCCCCCAAACGAGGCCGTCTCCCGAGTAACAACGATTCGAAACCTTACGAGGACATATTAATGGGTGGGTGTATAGAGTATTATTAAGCAGGAGTAGTAGTGCGCAGAAGACACAGACAACTCGATCTCCACTCGGGTGACGAGAGAAGTCGAGTTCATCCAGGAAATCGCTGGACAAGGAACACAGAGGGGCGAGTAATGCCATGACCACTCATTCCATGCTGCGGCTCCGAGTCCAGATCCTGATCTAGATTCTGTCAACTCGATCCGGAATATGTAACCATACAATGGCCTCAGTGGTCTACCACACGAGTACGACTTAGTACTACTCGGTACAAGTACCAGGCCAGGCACAAGAATGTGGCCAGCCATTTTTTCCCAGACACCCCAAACACCAAAACACCAATAACCAAACTCGGTGCGAGGTTGTTGACGCTCTACCTATCGATCCATCGACACTCTCTAACTCGCCCCACGAGCCCACGAGCCGTTACCCATCCATAGCGCTGGCACCGTGAAATCCCCGTACCAATAGCCAGGCCCCGACTGACGTCTCTTCACGTACGCGAACCGGAAAAACTCGGGCTCGCCAGCGACGCGCCTCGTCCACTGGAACGTCATCTCGTCGTCGGGCATCAAAGCCTGGAAGCGCAGCACGTCATTGACAAGCACGCTGATGCCGTCGAACGGTGGTAGCGTCGATAATGACGACGACGAGATAGCTGGGTCTCCTCCGAAAGAGAAGGTGATGGTGTCCGCCCCAACGACGACAGGTGCGCTGGACTGCCGAGGAACTAGGCTGCCGAGCGCGCCGCCCTCTTGGAGGAGCTGGGCCGGCGTCTGGAGGAGGCTGTCGAAGCCCCAGCGCGCGACGCCGTTGACGAACAGCCCGATCAGGACGCCCTGGTACAGAAGGCTCGGGCGGGTCTGGAGAGCCGTCCCGGGAAGTAAGATCAGGGCGAGGATGTAGTGATGGATCCGCACGTTCATGCCGGGGACCAAAAGGAGCGCGACCAACGACGCGCCCACGATGGCATAGAAGAGCAAGTACCGAGGCATCCTGCCCTCGGTCCTGAAGCACCAAGCTTGCCCGGCCGCGATGACGAGGAGAATAGCCGTGATCAACGACAGGGCGAGGATGGCGCCTGGCTGTTGCTCCAGGTCGTGTGGAGTCAGTCGCGATATCGGTATACGGTCGAAAGTGAGATTGTTCAGCGCTCCGACCCAGCAGGCCCCAAGCCAGAGAACAGTCCTCTCGACCGGAGCCTTGAGACCGGATAGGGTTCGGCGGACACAGTATTGATAAATGACGTGGCCCACGAACGCGGCCGGGAGGAATCGTCTGATTGCCATTGAGACTACATCAGCGTGGTCTTGGAAGTATGGAGAATCCGATATCAGCGCCACGTGGAAGAAGACTCCGACGAAAATTGACCAGAACAGAGTCACCGCAGAGGTGACGAAGACGGAGAAGAGAGACGTGATTAGGATCGACGTGCCCAAGAATGTCCAGCGAGGATCTCTGCACCCTGCAGGGGTCGCCACACGAGAGGAGTTGAAGGTGAAGGAAAGTGGGAAGCTGGATGGGAACCCGATGCTGAGGATGCCGTGGACATCAACGCCAGGGAAGTTGGACTGCTCTCCAGTGCGCAACAACACTCCACAGCCTCCTCGGCCATTAGTCGCGATGCCGGCATGGATGGCCGCGGCGCAGATATACGAGTCTCCGCGGTACACGGGAGAAGCATGGTCTCCAAGATCTCGTGGTCGTCCTCCGATAACAAGACTGCGGTAACTGACTTGCTAAGATCCAATGTAATGCGGCTCGAGTAATTTGACGTCTTGACAACCAGCCGGACAAACGAACGCAAAGTGGTTATTCTCGAAAGGACGACATTCCTGACCGTCCAACCCACAGGCGGTGCTATTGGGCCTACTTATAGTACTGGTTGGTTATCTGCAGTCTGTTTACGACACCCGGGGACACGAACCATAACCGAGATGTACAGTCTAGTCTGATTGGCTGGCCGTCGACAGAATCAATGCTAGATATTGCCGACATTGGGAGGGCCCAAAGGAACATTCCACTCCAAATAATATAAAGAATAAGTAAGGCGAACAATCTAAGTCTTTTAGTGGGCAGGACCCTGTGAAGGAGCCGGTCGCAAGCGTTCTGGAGCCATTCGGAAGACTGGATGCGATAGACTCTAGGAGTCTTGGGGCCTTTGATCCATTTCAAAACAGCGTCTAAAGTGGACTTGGACCGGTTGTGGCGTTTCCCTGAGACCCGATTACCACTCGTTGGCTGGTCCGACAGCTCGTGAGGTGCAACAAGGATGCCTGCTTCCTCTCGGTCATATGCAGGCTCGGCTGGACCAAGGAGGCTCTCGTGGCTGGAATTGTCCCTGGCAGAATCGACCTCGTCGAAATTCCGCAAAGGATAGTCCTCGGTCGGGCTCTCAGAGTGGTATAATTGTGACGATATGGTAGACCACTCAGACGATTGCAAGAATGTTTTTTTCGACATTATCTGTTCGGAGTATTCCCCCTCAAGCTGTAGTCGGCGATACCTTTTTGTTGTGTCGGTGTGCAGAGCTCTATCGCAGTGTGGTCAAATCAACGTGCAATTTAAGGAAATCTGGCTTTTATAATAGTAACAGATGGCTAAAGCATATCCGCTGGAACCAGCGACCAGCAGCACGGTGCGGGAGACAGAAAATCTTTCAAAGGAGATGTGGGAGAGCATTCTCGAGATCATAACGCTGACACCATGATGAACGTCGCCTTCTCAAAGTTGAGTAAGTGTACTGGATACGCACAATCTGTACAATAATAGAAGAAACGGACAAGCACAAACATGTGCAGGACAAACTCGAAATGTGTTGATAATTAGAGACGGAGGCGGTTCTCGACGGATACTGCAAGGCCACCAGGGCAGCACAGCCTCGTCGCAACAGGATATTAAAGGGAAGGTAAGCCGAATACGCGTATAACTGTGGAGCCTTGCATCTTCCACGCGCGTATTTCTACAAATTTCCCCTTTTTGGCCCACAGCCACAGCCTCGACACCATCGACCCTGCTTGCTAGACTCGATACATCGACTTTCCCGACGCATTCAGTCCCCGTTCTTCTAATGGTCCCCACTGTTACAACTGTACAAAGATGCGTATTATCAGCCGCCCGATGTCTAGGCAGCAGGCGAAAACAAACAAACATCGGAGATGGATTGGGTATTTATGCATCAGGTTTGAATTTCGAAACTGTTCTGTATCCCCAAGTCTCTGTCTTCATTCACGGTTCCTTCAAAGAGGATTTCCCTTTCTCCTCTCTTCTCTTGTGCTCTTTCAACGCAGTGTGTCCTCCCCGTTGACGCTTCCAAGTCGGCCTCTTGTTCCCCAATTGACAGACAAATGGCGAACGACAACAACTCGGACTTCAAACTCTACCGCTACGATCCCTCCTTGGCCGCGGCCGTGATTTCCGTCATCTTGTTCGCCCTCGCGTCTTTCCTGCACACGTACCAGCTCCTCCGCACGCGGACATGGTTCTTCATACCCTTCTGTGTTGGCGGGTACTTTGAAGCTATCGGGTACATTGGCCGGGCGATGGGATCTCAAGAGAGCCCGAATTGGAGCGTAGGTGCTTTTGTGTTGCAGTCGGTCCTCATCCTCGTCGCTCCGGCGCTGTTCGCAGCTACTATCTACATGGAGCTCGGGAGGATTATCTTGCTGACGGATGGGGCGGCTCATTCGATCTTGAATCCGAGGTGGTTGACCAAGATATTTGTCGCGGGCGACGTCTTTTCGTTCCTGATGCAAGCGTCTGGTAAGTGTCTTTTCCCTTGCCTCCATGTACTATTTCTCTGGGGCGCTGATATCAACCGGAAACCTCTCTCTAGGTGGCGGAATCATGGCTGGCGGGACCGAATCGTCCATGAACACGGGCAAGAACATCATCATCGGCGGGCTCGTCATCCAAGTCATCTTCTTCTCCTTCTTCGTCATCGTCGGCTTGGCCTTCCACCTGCGAATGCACCAGGTGCCCTCTCCCAGGGTCCTCGCCGACATCAACATCGCGGTCGCCTGGAAGAAACACATCTACACCCTGTACGGCGGCAGTCTACTCATCCTCGTGCGGTCCGTCTTCCGACTGGTCGAGTATGGGCAGGGAAACGCTGGCTACCTGATCTCGCACGAGGTGTTTCTGTATATCTTTGACGCGGTGCTGATGTTTGCCACGATGGTGCTCTTTGCTGTGGTCCATGGCAGTGAGCTCAACGCGTTGCTGAAGGGTGGCAGTGGCAGGGCTGTAAGGAGGGTTGTCTCGGTCTACAGCTTGAAAGGGCCTCGAGGCAGCCGCCTCCCATGAGTTGCCGAAATAAGACGCGTGGGCTTCATCATATTCCTCACAGGGTCAAGAGGCGGGCATAGAAAAAGTGGATGGATGCAGGCAATGGGCGTTATGAAGAATACACCGCCGGCGGCTTGGTTCGGGCTTTTCATTTTTGTTTTTCTTTGATCCATGGCCAAGATGGAAAAAGAACTGTGCATTTTCTGTGGGTTGCATTACCTTTCTTCTGAATGTGTTTGAAAACTTCCGCCAGGTCGCTCATTACCCCTTCTGTTCCTTGTCATGCATTGGCAATCGCCCTCTCCGAACACTAACGGATCAGTGACTTTGTATCCAGCCTGGGTGCTTCCAGAAGGCCCTTATCTCGACCGGCTCACACAACTCTCACGCCGCCACAGACCTGCAGACAAATAGGTACCAGGACAGATTCTGACTAAAAGGATGCCAGCACGCCCACACGCAATGAAGGGTTTCTCTGCCCACTCTGCTGGCCCTCTGCCACAACCGCACTCTCGGTAACCCAGATTCCATGCCACGATTCACTTGGAAAGTCGGGGACCCCTTCCGTCCGAAGACCTTTGCATTCCTAACGATGTTCTCCGGCTTGGACTTAGCAAAAGTTCACTCCTGAAATGGAACAAAAAAGCGAGAAGGCTTGGACAAGCAAAGGCTTCGACCACCAGACGTCCCACATTCACCTGAGTTACGCTGATGTCACCGTCGAAGGCCATCGTGATCCCAATTCCGCGGCTCTGGAGGAGGATGCGACGAGTGTCAGATATCTTGCTGAGCACGCCGGGCTGATCTCGATGTCTTCTCGAAGCAAGGGGGGACTAGAGTTAAAAGGTCGTTCTCGTCGTCCGGAGTGGGTCCATCACGGTTGCGACGACAGGGGAGGATATGTTTCTCGATCAGATCAAGAAGCCACAAGTGTTTGTCCCCGTAGCTAGGTGCCTGCAGCGTGACTCTTGTCAAGTTTGGGTTGGTGACCGTGAAGTCTGTCTGTTGCCACCTTATCCAGTTGGAGGTAGGCGAGCGAAGAATAGCGGAGGATGAATTGTTCGATCCTCTCCCAGGCTGGGGGCGGGATGTTTGGGCGCCATTGCCATTGAAGAGTCGGGTCAGGGAATTTCGGCACCACGTGATATCACGTGATCTACTACCGTAGTCCACGTAGCTATCAACAAGTACAGATGGCGCCTGCGCTCCTGTAGCTCACAACAGGATACCCCTGGTCCTCGCTGTGGCACCTACAGTTGCATTCAAATGTGATTGGCGCCATGCCGAACGCGGGCTTTATTTCGTGGTAATGAAGCGACTTACAGGTCGTCAACTTCACATCCTTCGTGTAAGATTCAGCACCGTCACAAGCGTGAACAGACGCGACATATTTCTAGATCAGCAGTCGCATCTCCACCGGAAGCTTGAGTAAGGTCAAAGGTCCCTCGATGCTGGACATCCTGTGAGCCCACGTATTATCCAACAGGTGTTGTGGTGGAGTCTATTTGAGTTGATGCTGGTTTATCCAAGTTAGGACGGGAAAGTGACCTTGTTAAGACACATATATATAGAAGTTGACTTCATGAAGACGCGATTCGATTCGGTTCGGTTCGATGCGGATATATAGGTGTCACTGAATCAAAGGGTGTTATGATAGGCCCCAGCACGCAAAGAGAGACGACAATGGGGCCAACGACAATGGCAAGGAAACAGATCCGTCGTAATTTCGCCGTTTTCCTAAAAAAGTTCTCATTTCTCTATCTCGCCTCGTAAAGTCTCGTTGATCGAGTACTGGTGATGTATCGTGGTATCTTCTATATGAAACAATGGTAGAAACAACATGAGGGCTTTGCCCTCGGAAGTGCCGAACTTAAGTGGTAGAGGACAGGAATGTCCGTTGTTGAGGTCGGACTATGGACGACGTCCATAGCATTGGCTGCCGCCTCAATTCCCCAATTTTCCTAAAACAAGTCGAAAGTCTTGCCTGTGGCCAAAGATCCCTCCAGTATCCAACAAGTGTATAACGCTCCTCAGTCGCAACAAGTAGCAAGGCAGTGAAAGAAAACTGGCAAATTAGAAGTTCTCCTTGCCCCATACAAAGCTGAAGCCCTTGTCACCCTCGCTATACATGTTACAGAGGATGTGTAACTGCGAACCCAAGCCCTTGGGCCCGCAGAAGAATACGCCCGCCTCGCCCGGAGAGTGGAGTTTGCGAATCGCCCGGAAGACCATGTCCCAGTTGGGACGGCCGAAGTTTGTCGGCGTGCGCAATCCCGTGATGGCATCGGTGTCGCTGCTGTTGAGCATGATGTTGTTGGCGTCCGCAGCGGAGATCTTGGCAGTAAGGTACTGTAGGTGAACCAGTTAGCAAAACGCGGTTTGGGAGGGGACGTCCAAGGGAAGGGAGAAAACATACAGCGTGGATCTCGATGGCGTGTTGCTTATCTTGGGCTTCAATAGCAGTGAGCAGACTCTTGAACCATTCCAGAGATCCGAAGTCCCGGCAAATCCAGAAGAAGTAGACCTTTCTCAGCCGCGATTGACCGCCACCACCTTGGCTCATGCGGTACCAGATAGACTTGAGGATACTGGCGAACGGCGTGACTCCAATGCCTGCACCGACTAGTACTGCCGTTTCGAATTTGAACACATCCTCGGAGGCGGATCCGAAGGGCCCATCAACGTAGATGCGCGGGAGGAGCTTTGTCAGACCTCCCGGAGCCATGGAGACAACTTCAGAGCGTGGCTTTTTTGCGCCGTCACCCTTAGTGTCACCTCGACCCTTGCCCTCCTGGCAGCCGAGCGCTTTTCCAAGAGCTTTGGTGAAGTTGCCCACCATTCGCACATGGACAGAGATATAATCTTCTTCCGGCGCCGATGTCAGGGTGAAAGGATGGTACTGCCAGATAGAGACCTCGGGACAGCAGAGGAAGATATACTGGCCTGCACGTGTCTTCGTCTTCTCCTTGTGCATCTGAATCTCCACGACGTTGCTGGGGTGTTGGATGACCTTAGTCACGTAGGTCTTGTGTCGCCCGCGGATTTCTCGGAGAACTCTCTCCATGAGGTATGCAAAGCCTCCATACATCCAGTATTCCCAGAATACACCTGTACCGAAGCAGAAAGGAGCGGTGTCGGCCTTGATCATGCAGAAGGCGCCATGAATGGACCAGAAGACGAAAAACACAATAAAGAGATGGTGGACAGACCAGAACCGCTCGTAATTGGCTCGTCGGGGCTTCTCGATTGAAGTGAAGAACATTGCCATCAAGGCAAAGAGCATGACATAGCCAGACCAGCCCGGGCCAGTCATAAAGTTGGCCTCCAAGAAGCCGACAAAGCCCAGCTTCTGTTTGGCGGCGAGCTGGGCGAAGTTGTTCCAATGCGCAATGGTGTGGACCCAGGTAAAGAAGACGATCGAGTAGGCGACAAGTTTGTGGAAGGTGAGGTTCTTGTCGAATGGGACGATGCTGTTGAGAGGCGTTTGGCGGAGCAACGATATCAAAGTCCGACAGACAGGGAAGAGGATCAAAGCAACGTCGAAGTGTAGGACCAGGGCGGCTGACCGCGCAATGGGATATGTGATGCCAAATGTCGCCCGCGCTCCTGTCAGGTTGTCCTTCAGTTGGTAGTTCATGAATCCGAATGCGAAGACCAGTCCGTGTACCAGCACGAACACTCCCACCACGATCCGCCTCGAGCCCTCGTTGACCATCCACCTCTCAAACTTCTCTCTCATGTTCAGGTCTCGGGGTGCCTCGCCGCTCACTTCCCCGGACAGCAACATCCTCGACAGAGGAGTTGATCTGGTTCGTTCCGTCATCGAGGAAAATGTCGACGATGTGTTTGACCTGGCCAACGGCTTCTCGATGTAATACATTGGAGCATTATTATGCGTCGTAGTATTGGACCGTCCCAGCGGCTTGTCGAAGTAGGAAGAATAAGGTGGCGGCGTCGAGATGTTCATGGCGGGCAGGCGATAATGTACGGTCCGAGGACTGCGGTCCAGAACACCCTGATACGAATCTGTTTCCAGTGATGGTCCACTGCACGCTGCAATTCGGCGACCGATGTTATGGCAAGAGGGTAGAGACTGGAGACAATTGTTTTTCCCAGACCGTTTCACAACGCGGTCTTGACACAGTATTAGTATGAAGGAAATGACCGCCTCGCTAGCGACTTCAGTATACTCACATCGTACAACCAGGATACCAGGGAGGTTTTAGCACCAGACGAGCCTGTCTCGGCCTGTTAGAAGCGAAATGAGAGTGTCCAACAACAATCTATCCAAAGCACAAAGACGGTGCACCGGACCAGGGAAGACGATCTGCATGGGTAAACAGACGATCGAGGGACAGGGACGATGGAGAAATAGGGCATCAGTTGAAGGGCATTTTCCCGGTCCCCCTTCGGCGCTTCTCGCTACATAATGGTAGACATCAGCGGCTTGACAGAGTTTGTCGGCCCTTCATGCAATTTTCAGGGGGAGTTTGTTCAGGTGCAGATCTGCAGGACAGAGCCACAGCTGGAGGAGCATAGGTCAATGGGAACGCTCGGTGCAGGACGTGGATATCCACATCGCTACTGGTGATAGCGTGTCAAGCGTCGAGACCCAGAGAGAAGCGAAGGCCAGACGCTGTCGACGAAGAGTTGAGTCGGACATGAAAAAGGTCGAGAGATGAGTTTGGGCGACGATGATTTGGCGGTGGTGCGCGGTGGATGAAGGTGGATGAGGGCCAAGTGAGGGTTGGTGAAACGCGCTAGGGGTTGACGAGCCTCCGAAACGGACCAGAGAACGCTGGAAAACCAACCTTTGCAGCTCTTTCGAGTCTCCGTCGTGTTTGCCGCTCAGCCTCCTTGTTTCAGTCGATGCAAGGCTTTCCTTCACATAAGGACCACCGTGCTACGTACCTCGTACGCCCTGCAGCCATTGCCCACCAGGCCACGCAACCCTCCTAGGGGCCCATGTTTGGATGGCCTTGCTTTGGGCACGTGCCTTGCTGCTGGATGCACCACAAGCCCTTTGGAGCCTTGGAGAGTCTTGGATCCATCGCCGGAGTGCGGTCGTCGCTTGCCGAGCAGCCCCTCTAATTGGGTGGCTATGGTCTATTCGATCACCTTGGCGATGCAAGCGGCCACTTCGCAGCCTACGGATTACTCCTCCTCCTACAAGATTGCGGCGAGGCGGCAGGGCCATCAGATCTCAAGGGTCATAGCTGTACGGTACTGGCTTGGTCAAGTTCAAAATACGAATAGATGGGCTGAAAAGAGTCGATCTCGAACAAAACCCAAGAAAAGAAATAAACATGGTGGGGTACGCAAGAAGCACAGTTGTCAGTTATCCCTCAAGCACGCCCTGTGGTAATGCATCATAAGAGTTCATCCGAGATCGTGCTCATGGACAAATAAACATCCCTCCATAACGTCTGCGCCTGTTTCTCCCGTTGCTTGTCATTGCATCCATTGGTGTAATGCATGTCTCATACTCTGCCAACTGCATCCGTGGATTCGCGGGTCCCATCTACCGAAACCCTTGTGAATTGGCCGTTGTTGTTGCCGTTGCCCGCTGCTTCAAACGCTGCCAATTCTCGTCTGTGGCAGCACCATGGTCCTTGCCGCTTGGCGCTGCCGGGCACCGCCTAGCAACCGCCACCGCCCATTCTGCCATTGAAACTAGATTGCGAACTTTCTCGTCCATTCTCTGGCGGTTGCCTCGTATCGAGCACGGTCCGTCTTGTACACATGAGCGATCTCCGGAACAAGTGGATCATCGGGGTTGGGGTCGGTAAGCATAGAGCAGATGGAGAGGAGGACTGTAAGATTGTTAGCCATGTATCTCCCGGTCGCTGGGGTGGCGATCGTGCATACCTTTAGATATTGTCAGAGCCGGGCTCCACTGGTCTCGAAGAATGTCCAGGCAGATGCTGCCGTTGGAGTTGATGTTGGGGTGGTAGATTCGAGTGGTGAAATTGACCTTCGGTGGTTTGAAGGGGTAGTCTGTAGGGAAATGGATGGCCAGGAAGAAGACACCGCCTTGGAATGGGCTGTCACTCTGCCAAATTGGTCAGTCTCGCAAACAAAACGCGGTCAAAGGGGTGTTGGCAACTTACAGGACCCATGATTGTTGCTTGCCAGTGGAACTGATATTGATGTTAGCCAAATATTCAGGTCGAGCAAGCCATGTCCGACCATCCGATTGTCGGTCTGCAGCGGCTTTTTCAGGACGTCATACTCACCAGGTCATCTCCCATAGGGCCGGCTGAGCATGAGGAGGGAGGATCACTGCATTCAAAAATATCAGTATGTACTTCAAAACTATCCCGTACGGTCTTATCACGCCCAAGTTCGGCTCGTGCACCGTCTTGCCGCATCTCTGGAGAGAGGGGAGGACTCACCGGCCAAGATCTGTGAGTTCTTTGTTGATTCTCTTCAAAGCCATGGCTGAAAATGTGGTTTATCTGAGTAGTAGGAAGGGTTTGGAGGCCAGAGGTGGTCGATATCGAGGGGACGTGGGGCTACGGTCTGAGTCAACCCTGCTGAAAAGCGGTTGGTAAATAGGTCGTCAGAGTTAAGGATAGCGGACGAACCTGAAGACTGTGCGACGAGGAGAATTAAGTATTAGAGGGAGGGAGGGTGAGGTAGTCGCACGAAACGAAGTGGTGGTGTCAAGATGTTTGATCACTGTGGTGAAGTTGGTTGGGTGGTTATGTAGTCAGTGGTAAAAGGAAAGAGAGATCGACTTTCAGCCGAACGGATCGCAGTTTAAACTGAAAGAAGGCGTCACGCTTGGCAAGCCGCAGAAGGTGCTGGACTTGGGTGGCAGTAATACTAATGGTGGGCTGGTGGACAGGCGAGGGGCGACAAGTGACTTCAGGTGACGCTCCAAGGGTACATCTAAGGCGGGCGGGCGGCGTGGGCGGTGCGTGGGTGGTGCCTTGGTGGTGCCTTTTCCTCGCCGCCGGGCGCCCAATGAAATTCCCTTGGGCTTCAACTTTTCCCTGACTTCGCCACCTCCTGCGAGGCCGTATTTCCTGTCATTATAAGGTATCTCTTTCTGACAAAGCATAGCCCGTGACATTCAAATCATCACCAATTCCCTATCGATATATTGGCTCATAGGATAAGGGTTCATTTATTCGTCTATTCCGCCTTCTGAGTCAAGGAGACCGCTCGCTTACTGGAGCACAACCACATGTATCAAGGAGAATTACGTGGTAGTCCCGGTCCTATGCTAGACACCAAGATACCTACAAGTATCTATGCAGGATACATCGAGCATAATTGAAAACACTGGTGGTGACGACTAGGAGGTGACGAGAATCGTGGAAAGCAATTGAATTCAACTTCCACCAGTCGACTCGTGCCTAGCAAAATGACTGCAACCCAGTGATGGCCCGGCCCAGGATCAAGGCGTGTATATCACTTTGCCCTTCATATGTCTGCGTGACGAAAAGATTTGCAACATGGCGCCCAATGTGGTACTCATCGCTGACGGCGTTTCCACCAAATATCTCTTGAAGATGCCTGGCATTTACCAACGCTCGATCACAGTTTTGTCGCTTGATCATTGAAATCATTTCCGGAGTGACCTTCCCCTCGTCCTTCAGGCGGCCAACTTGGTATGCTGCAGCTAGTCCAAAAGCTGCATCCGTCAGAGCATCGGCCAGTTTCTTTTGAACCAGCTGATACTTTGCGATTGGGTTGTTCTTAAATTGCTTCCTCTCCAGGGCATATTCCCTCGCTCGACTGATACAGTCTTCAAGCGCGCCCATTGTTCCCCATGCGATACCATACCGCGCCGAATTGAGGCAAGCAAACGGACCTTTGAGGCCTTCAATATCCGGGAACATGTTCTCTTTCGGTACGGGACATTCGTCTAGCTGTATCATGCCAGTTATCGACGCTCGAAGTCCGTTCTTGTTCTTCAAAGGTGGCGTCTCGAGAGTGCCCGGTGGACATTCCTCTCTCTCAATCAAAAAACCTCTGATCTTGCCTGTTTCTTGCAACTTTGCCCATACAAGCAGCACATCCGCGATTGGCGAATTCGTGATCCAGGTTTTTGACCCTGACAGTGAGAAATATCCCTCCTTGGATGGATGTGGCTTCGCAATTGTCTCCATCGAACCTGGGTCGGAACCGTGATTGGGCTCCGTCAAGCCAAAACAGCCGACTAGCTGACCTCTGGCCAGCTTCTCCAGGTATTTCTCCTTTTGTTCTTGTGTCCCAAACTCATCTATGGGACCCATCACCAGGGAGCTTTGAACAGACATGCCTGACCGGTACCCCGAGTCAACTCTTTCCACTTCTCGTGTTATCAGACCGGCGGCGACGTTACTCACGCCAGCACATCCGTACCCTTTTATTGTGGCACCCAATAAACCTAACTCGCCCATTTCCTGCAGGATTGTTTTGTCGTAGTCTTCCTGGCGGTATGCTTCCAACACCCTAGGCAGCAGGCGCTCCTGGCAATAAGAATGTGCCGTCTCCTGGATCGCTTGTTCTTCTTCGCTTAAGAAGTTTGACAGGTTGAGAGGGTCTTCCCATCTAAAAGCCGCGGCGGAGGAGGCATGTCTGCGAAGGGAAGCGCGTGCTGCGGAGGCCAGGCGCACCGGCGCAGCTCGACGAAGGAGGGACCGAGACAGCATGAAAAGAGAGACTTCAGCGAAAGCGGCGTAAAGAAATGGGGACAATCAAAGTCTCAAATTCGAAGGAGAAATGGCCCAATTTGGGGACGGGGAGATCGGCGAGGTGATTCAATGGGTCCTATATACTCGCAAAATGCCGAGGCGATTTTCAGGTGGTCCAGCGAGTCAATAGATTGAAGAATCTCCGAGGCGGCAGACGGGTTCACATGCTAATTGAATTACAGACGGAGGTCTGCAGGAGATCATGGAAACTCCTGTTCAGAGATTGAGCACTCCAGAGATTGAAAAGACACCAGGTCTTCCTCGAAGGATGCGCAAGAGTGCCCAAGGGTGCCTTCGGAGAATCGCACTCGAATCGCAGCAAGCCAAAGTTGCGCTACAAAGTTTTTGGATCCGCAGTAGCCTGCGTCTGCGGAGGATCTTGCCGCATGGGCGCAGTTACGTCATCCACTTCGTCCTGCAGGGCGCGAAACGCGATTCTGAAAGATCACTCTATACGCGCATCTTCGACTTCTATCTTCTTGTCATGCGATCCACATCCAACGTCCACTCTACCGAACTGTGAGAGGCGCAACGTTTCAAGACGATGGGTATCAAGCGTATGTTGCATTGTTGACACGATTGTCGAATCTTAACCAGCTCACTGTGAACAGAGCTCTACCATGTCATCGCCGAGGAGGCGCCTGATGCCATCAAGACTGGTGAGATCAAGAACCACTTTGGTAGGAAGGTGGCCATTGTAAGTGACGGTTGTGTACTGTTGATGCCTCGAACTGACAAAATCTACACCAGGATGCGTATGCTCTATATCACGTATCGAACCAAAGACCAAGTGACTGACTTCTGCAGATCCATGAGCATCTACAGCTTTCTGATAGCAGTCCGTTCAGATGGCCAACAGCTTATGTCCGACACGGGCGAGACCACTTCTCATCTCATGGGCATGTTCTACCGGACTCTGCGTATGGTCGACAACGGCATCAAACCACTCTATGTTTTCGATGGCGCACCGCCCAAGCTCAAATCTGGTGAATTGGCGAAGCGCTTTGCTCGCAAGAGCGAAGCGAGCGACCAGCATGAGGAGGCAAAAGAGACCGGTACTGCTGAAGAGGTTGAGAAATTCTCAAGGCGCACAGTCAGAGTTACGCGAGAACATAACGAAGAGTGTCGGCGGCTCCTTAAGTTGATGGGTATTCCCTACATTATTGCACCCACCGAGGCGGAGGCACAGTGCGCGGTTCTAGCGCGTGCTGGAAAGGTGTATGCAGCGGCGTCTGAAGACATGGACACTTTGACATTCAACTCACCGATCCTGCTCCGGCACCTTACATTCAGTGAACAGCGGAAGGAACCCATACAGGAGATACACCTCGATAAGACCTTGGAGGGACTTGGTATGGACAGGAATCAGGTATGGATCTCTTCCCACGAAATGACTATTTGGTGTGGTCAACTAAGGCGTCCAGTTCATCGACTTATGCATACTTTTGGGCTGTGATTATCTGGATCCAATTCCCAAGGTTGGCCCCAACACTGCTTTGAAGCTGATCCGAGAATATGGTTCGTTGGAAAAGGTGGTTGAATTCATTGAGAATGATCCCAAGAAAAGATATGCAATTCCCGAAGACTGGCCATACCAGGAGGCGAGAGAGCTGTTCCTCCACCCCGATGTTCGATCCGCCGATGATGCGGAATGTGATTTCAAGTGGGAAGCGCCTGATGTCGAGGGCCTCGTTCAATTCTTGGTTCATGAGAAGGGTTTCAACGAGGACCGTGTACGCAGTGCCGCTCAAAAGCTGCAGAAAAATGTCAAAACCGCCCAACAGTCCCGACTGGAGGGATTCTTCAAAACCCTCCCGAAGACGGAAGAGGAGAAGAAAAGCCTGAAGCGCAAGCACGACGAGAAAATTGCCGAAGCCAAGAAGAAAAAGAAGGAAGAGGCCAAAACAAAGAAGGAATCCAAGTCCAAGGCGCATCTGTCGACATGAGAAGAGAGGCGCCAAAGGGAGCACGTATATGTCGGAAGTCGACATGCATTTTATGAAGGATGAGATTATGGGCGAGGCAGGATTCAAACAAGGGTGGACAACAACACATTATTACATAGCAGGGCGTTCTGGAGGGTAAACAGGGCGGATGGGACGGCGGCTACCCAGTGTGCTCACGCCACGAGACTTGTCGCAGACTGAGAATTGCTGAGCTGGGCCCAGAGACTACACAGTCCCGAAGGTTGAGATAGGATTTGCTCTAACCTGTCCGGGAACTGTTCACATGATCCGGCCGATCGGATGTTCTCAATCCCAATGGCTGAGCTTGATCCATCCTCTCCTCCCGTTGAAAAGTCCAACGCCGCAGTGGCAGGAAATGCTGGTCATGTCACCGTCAACGGTGAAACGCTTGATGACCCCAAGTGGCTGCCTAGACAAACCAAATCCCCCAGCAGATGACCGAAGGCCTCTTGCCTGACCCTGCGAGCATTCCCACAGCAGCAGCCAAGTAACATTTAACAGACGGTGTTGACGCGGAATATTGCTGCCGAAGAGTTGTCCCACGAGCATCGGGGTCAATTGACGACACAGGTGGAAAGCTCGACCTTGCCAGAGAAGCTGTTAGAGACGTGCTTATGTCAATAATAGAAGATTATCGGGCGCCATGAGCGACAGCGAGGTCAGTCACCATAGATACAACAGGCAGCAAAATCACGGGATGCAAGGTTACGAGGTTGTGGAGTGAATGGAAGATGGTGAGACAGAATGACAAGAGTGGACAGGGAGGAAGAGGAAGAGGAAGAGAGAGAAAGAGAGAAAGAGAGGACATGGGGGGGGTGAGGGAGGGGGGTAGGCGAGGGAGAAGGCCCTTGGAGTGCCGCGCGTGATCTGACTTTGTGATGGATCAGACGGGGATGGCGGGAGGCTCTTGGTGTTTCTGTTTCCGTTTCCTCTGGGCGGGCGGGATGCAGAGGCAGAGGCAGAGGCAGAGGCGGGTGCAGAAGCAGAGGCAGAGGCAGATTGATGATGATTTCTGGGTGCCAGGCACATCAGGAAAATGTGGTGATGGGAGTTCCGCTGGCTGCGGCGTGTGATTGGCTGAAGAAGGGCGCAGGTCGCGGGATCAACTCTGGATCAACCTACGGGCTGCACACGTCACATGGCAGGTATAAAGCATGCGCCGTCTCCCCCGCCTCGCGCGCTCGCAGCAGCCCATCCCATCTCCCATCTTTCCTCTCAAATCTACTCACCACACCTCGCCCACCGCTCTCTCCGCCCATTGTCACCATTTTATCGCTTTTCTCCATCAATTGCCCACCTCAGTCCGTCTTCCACCATCACCATGCCTGCCAAAAAAGCTGCTGCCGCCGCTGCTCCGGCCAAGGAAGCAAAGGAAAAGAAGCCTGCTGCCGCCCCCGCCCATGCCTCATACAAAGGTGCGTTTTGCCGGAGAAGGCATGGTCGCATCATGCCGCAACCAAGTCTATCGTTGTCGCGTGTCAATGCTGACTCTGTATATCAGACATGATCAAGGAGGCCATTCTGAACGTAAGTCTAGCCGCTTTGCGACAACCTCGATGCCCCCCCGCCCGAACCCACCTATCCTGCCGCCTGTCTGGAGCGTGGAGTGGGCGAAAGAGGTTGTGGCGACAGCCTATAATCATTTCATTGTCTGGCTATCGTACTGACGCATAGCGACGTGTAGCTCAAGGAGCGCAATGGAAGCAGGTGGGTCTTCTCCCTGCACCTCGTCGTCGCTGGCGGTCCGTCTCAAGAACAGTTGCTAATTGGCTCATCAGTCGACAAGCGATCAAGAAGTATGTCAAGGCCAACAACAACATCACCGTCACTTCCGAGACTCAATTCGACTCCATCTTCAACAAGGCATTGAAAACCGGTGTTGAGAAGGGTGACTTCCAACAGCCCAAGGGTATGACCCATCGCTGCATCGTCCAAGTGTCTTGGTGCTGAGTTACATTGCTTAGGTCCCTCTGGTCCTGTCAAGCTGGCGAAGAAGGAAGTCAAGCCCGCTGAGAAGAAGACTGTCAAGGTATGTACCACTACATCCTTGCTGGTCCAAACATACTGACCTCCCTCGAAGAAGGAGAAGGCCCCCAAAGAGGCCAAAGAAACCAAAGAGCCCAAAGAGGCAAAACCAAAGGCCCCCAAGACTAAGACTGTGGCTAAACCCAAGTCTGCGACTACCAAAGCGAAGAAAGCGACCACCCCGAAGAAGGCCGCCGCCGCCGCTAAGCCGAAGGCCAACACCGCCACTAAGAGAGCACCCAAGACTAAGACCAAGAATGAAGCACCTGTATGATCTTTGAATCGGCTTCTTCATTCTATTGACTCTATTGCTGACAGTGATCAAGGCCCCTGCTGTCACTGAAGCCCCCACTGTTCTGAAGAAGACCAAGTCAGGGCGCGTGAGTAAGCAAAAGACCACTACAGGTGCGAAGAAGGCGACTCCCAAGAAGGCAGCGACAACAAAGAAAGCCGCCGCGGCGAAGCCGGCATCGGCAGGGGCTTGAAGGTCACAGCTGGCACCGAGACTCCACGAATAGTCTCTGACTTTTCGATCATGTTGCTGTTATGACCTGACATGTGCTGCTTCTTTTTGTATCTTGTATTTGAGATCATGTCGATGGGTTGAGGGAAACAGGCGGTTTGCAGGGATGGGTGGGCGTCAAACGGGGAGGGAGGACGGTCGCCAGAACCAATCATCGCCATCTTCCAGTCCCTCGCGTCATGAAGGTTCTTCGTCGGCTTTTGCGCTTGTACCGGGTATGTCTTAACTGGTCTCATTTTGTTGATGTGGTAAGAGGGACTTGTGTTACTGGCGTTCGGCGACTTTTTAGTCTGGGCAATGGGAAGTGATATGGGCCGTGGACGAGGATTACAGCAAGACAAATGACACTCAGGGCCCATGTGAGGGAAAGACAACACTTTTATCGCGCACTGCTCACTATCGATGGAATGGGAAAGCAGGAAGAGAAGTCGACTCTACAATCCCCATGCAGATATCTGATACACAAATCAAAAACCGCCTTGAACTGGAGCCGCTTGTTGACCCGACGGTACTAGTAAATGCCGTCACACCCAGGATCGCTATGTAACAAGTGGTAAAGAGTAGCAGTATCGGGTATGCCAAGGCCAGGAAATACGTTTTTCCGTCCGTTGAGCGACCCATAGCCTGGTCCGTGACTGGTCATTTCTCGGCCAGGCTGCTCCCGCCTCTCCTCAATCGTGCCTAGTTCTACTTTCCATTCTCTGCTCTCATTGGATGCCTCCGGCAGCTCAGCGAATCAGCTCTAAGCCAGTACATACCAAGTAAAAGTACTATTAATAATATGCCTTCCTAATCGGGGAGTGCCTGGACTGTTCACCCAAAGCGCGTTAATTACAAGCACTCCGCAACACCAGAACCTTTCTTCGGGCCAGACTATCCAAAGCCATCGCGTACGTATTCTCGTCATGCTGGGGCTGATAGCAATGCCTCTAGACGACCACTCGACAAGTAGCGATCCAGCGATCGCCAGGTATTGCAAAATGCCAATGCCTCGATGAGCACCTGAATCGGACTTCGAGCTGCGCCAAGACGACGTCCCATGGGAAACTACTCGGTACTTTCGCGATGTAATGATTGCTTGGACAACGTCCCACATGAGTATGGTCCCTTTTTCAATCATAGACCCGGAAAACTGCTTATCCAAAAGCTCTGCTTCCAGGCTTGGTCTGCAACCTGGAACAAGATTTCGGGCGTCAAATTATGTAGCCTCCTACATTTTTCGACGTAGTGGAAACCATCGAGTGCACCCAAAAAAATGAAAGAAATGTTTCTCCAGGTCAAATTCGTAGATAGATTAACGAGGAATCTCTCGATATCGCGAGAGCATGACTCGCCAAAGGATATACTTGTGTCATGTGCATAGTTGCCGGTTTTCGTACAGGTCGTCTAAGACTCCAACGGGGACGTAAAGCGTATCAACCCAGAGGACGAGTCCTTTCTAGCAGTGAAAGTTGCGATATAGCCCCCGAGTCTGAGGTCATCAGTTTTCATCCAAAGTGCGGGCTGTCCGTTGCCCATGTCGAGAGAAACTCCTGAGGAGGGAGGAAATAGAGCGACCTGAAACTCTCCACGATAACAAATAACTGCCAAGCTAAGGAAAGTGGTGCAAGTACTCCCACACTCCACCTTGACATCTTGTCCGTGCTATGGGAAAGGACGCTTTCCAGCAGAACGAGTAGCGCGCTAGTGGTAGGTTGATATATGCTTGGTAGTGATCGCGCGACATCAGAGCGGCAACTGCTCAGGGTAGGCCTGGAAACGAACAACGACTCTAGTTCAGTAATTCGACGACATGGTAGCTCCCTCTTTAGCCTTACGAGTACAGTAACGCATCAGATGCTTGTCAACCTCTCAAACGCGGATCGTATCATGTCGCAGTCACATCACATTCTCAACACCGAACCCGTCCAGAGCACGCTGTTTACCTGCGTCTTTGGAGCAGCTGACTCGCCCGAACTGAAGAAGAAACTCGACGACTCTTGGAAAGACCTTCTCGGCCCTATCGAGCGACTGTTTCTTAACGAAACCGCTGCGACAGAAGCCTTGGAGAAGAGCTGCATTCCCCAAAAGGCAGCTTCATTTGTTTCCTTCTCTTCTAACTTGGACCAGATGAAGCGCTGGGAACTATATGCCGATATTCGAGTTATCGTACCCGACTTGCCAGGAAAACCAGGAGCGGTTGAAGTTAACCTTCAGAGTCTTTCCCGAGATTTCGGAGCTTGCGTTGCCATTCCTCTACTTTATGGACGGGACTTTTCAAATCGACATACCCAGCTCCTAGACGAATTTTGGAAATTCGACAACGACTTATTTCCTTTATTCTGATTGGAGTTCCGACGTGGACTTCATTCAAATTCATAAAGAACGCGTCGCAGCGGGGCCCCGTCTGCTGCAAGAGATGGAAGCTTAGTATCGGCGTATTGACCAGCATCAACAAGGATAGGCAGTCGGCTTCGATGCTGATATATCAGACATTAGCCCTAGAACGCAACATGGTCTACAAGCGGGAGAACTAGTCATTCGAGAGCGTAGGGGAGGAGACTTAGCCATCCTTTAGGGTCAAAATGCTAACACTCAACCTGTGCTTTTCTGGCTTTTAGTATACGTCTATTCTGCTCCTAATCTTCTAGACGGAGTCCGGGGGGGAAATAGCACCGTCTATTAACATTTCCCAGAAAAAGTTTAGACCGGAGATCATGTCGATGGACCTTTCAGTCCTGTCACACAACTGTTCATTTCCTTCTCAATCAGCTGGCCAGGGATGAAGTCCAATGTCGCCCTCTTAGGAACTTTCGATCCTAAGGCCACCGAGAAGGTCAAAGCGGCGGTTCGATTACGAAACCGGGGTAAAGCGTACGACTCTAGCATTTTCTCCGGCAGCTGACCTTTGAGATGGTCGACGTTTGTCCCCTCCCGCACGATCCTGTGGATGGCCAATTCGTCGGGCTGTCCGAGCGCAGGGAACTTTTTGAACATGGTCTCCCATACTCCTTGATCTTTTTCTCAGCTTCTAGGATCACATGGCCAGTTGAACGCAGCACTTTGGGCAATGCCTCTGCTGCTTCTTTGGCGACTTTCCTCTGAGCTTTCCGATCGCTCGCAGTGCTGCCTTCTGTTCGAGAGCTCTGGCTGGTTGCTGGATGGTGCGTTTCCAGACCGCAGCTTGTCACCCGTCGGGCTTCACCAGCGCTGCATTCATCTACATTGCCTTTTCGCCTTTCACGAGTCGCCCCCGCAGCCGGCAAGTAGACACGAAGCTGTCAGTATTCCCCTCTCCAGGTTGGTGAGCCGATAGCAAAAACGATCTCTGCCAAGGTATGCCTCGTACAAGACGATTCCATTACCAACGACGAGGGTCAACCCAGCAGCCAACTCGACAGCTTCGACCATCAGTGGGCGCTCGAATTCGAGCGAACTTACTGTTTTGCGCGAAGGCAGGTCCAGGATCAAGTTGAAGAGCGCAAGCATGTCTTCGCGTTCGAGGAGGAGTTCGTTCATGGCGTCCCAGGCCGACTCGATCAGAAACGACTCATCGATGTCATGCTGATCAAACCACTCTAAAAATCTAACCAGCATTATCCGGACAAGCCTAGGACCGTGGGGATTCCCGGCGTACTCGGTCCGAACGCCCTCGAACTTGTTGGTGATAAGGGTGATTTTGTTGAACTCCCGCTGGAAATTCCACTTGATCTGCTCTGCAGAGAGAGGACGCCGCCCTAGTCTGCTCCTTTGTTGATGAACCGTGAGTTCACACCTGGAAGGCGTTCGTATGTAACCTCTGCCGTTGCTTGCCTCAAGTTGGCGTCGATCCATTGCTGCTTGGAGATTGTCGGAGCCCCGTACCGCTTCATCACGGCTTTGCGCTGGTTCATCCACTTTTCTTCCATAAGCTCATACTTGCGTCACAGGATGGCCGCCTGCGTCGGCAAGTTGTAGAAGCACCTTGACAGTCACCTGGACCCGGAGTGATAGGAAACTTTGATGGTTTGGCTTCGTTTTCGTCCGCCAATGTTGGACATCCCCAGGGGACGCTTGTTGGGTGCCTTCACGGGCCTCTGAGCGGCCAAGAATAGACAGAAGAGTGCTATGCACAAGGAATATTAGGTAGTAGTGTAAAGGGCAGTGACCTGGTAAGTTCGTTGAGGATTGCGATGTCTGAAGCGAATGTCTACCTGAGTGGGTACGTAAGCATGTATCTATACAAACTCACCGCCTGATCCACCGCAGTTTCAAGTCCTTGTTCCTCATCATCTGCAGCGTCAACTTGGGCTGGCTGTCCCTCATGACGGCCTCGAGTCTCTGTTTGACTTCCTCCGCCGTCTCCTCGTCCCGGACCTTGACAGCCTCGCAGCGGTATTTGCCGAAGATGGTCATGAACACGCTCACGAATTCGACCTGCGACATCTTCTGGCCTGGGCAGACCCGCGGCCCCGCGGACCACGGCAGGAATGTGCCCTTGGGCGGCGACTTGATGTTCTGCGCGATGGTGTATTCTGCGCCCGTGCGTGATGGTGCGGTGTCCGGGGACACGAGCCAACGAGAGGGCCGGAATGTCATGGCGTCGTCTCCCCAGGTGCGAGGGTCCAGGTGGAGGGACACCGTGTTGATATAGATGATTGTGTTGGTGGGGATGTAATAGGACTTGCCCGAGGTGGTGGTTATGGAGACGTCGTGCGTCGAATTCGTTTGCTTTGCGCTATGTTGCCGCCACCATTGTCAGTACGGGACAGCTCCTCTCACGAACAGGCCAGGGCTGTGGAACGAAAACCTCGAAAATACAATGCCTTGGTTTGTGCTGGAAGAACTCACATGTGTGTCAAGGGTGGGAAGAATCGCATCGTCTCCAACTATTTTGTTTTGGCGCGAAGATATGGTTAGTGAGTTTCTTTCCGCATACGTCCTGAATGTCATTGTAGAGATAGAGACAGATGGACAGGATGACTATTGTTCTCCGCGTCTCGCAAGGCTTACCATAAGAGCCAAACACCGTGGTAGGCGAGGGTATATCTCGGCGTATTCCAGATTCTCCGCTCCTCTGGCACCCACAATGGTGTTGATTTCCTCATACAACCAATCCTGCCATTCCGGGTACGTGGCCAATAGAGCCAGCGCGTATGCCATAGTATTCGCCGTCGTGTCAAATCCCGCGCTCGTAAAGATGAAGAGGTTCCCCAGGATCTCTTCCTCTGAGAGCACTTGTGGGCTCTTGGATAGTTCGCCTGCCTTGGAGTCCAGGTCACCGTTGGGCTTGGATGAGTCCGAGAGACGCACCAGCATGCTCATCAGATTACTTCTGGGCTCGGGACTGTCATATTGCAACTTCCGCTCATTCTCCAGCATTTCCCTTGTATGCAGCGGGAACTCGTTCTTTGCGTGCCCAATGTTCTGCCACGACGGAGCGAATATGGGCAGAGTGAGTAACTTTGCCGGCATGACGGCCGCCTCAATGATGTTTTCGACCACGGTCTTGGTGGCCTCCATATAGGTCGTACGGTATCCCTTAGGGCGACTGGACTTCTCCTCCTTCCAAGGCTGTGAGATGCCGAATCCCGCCGTACCCAGGACATTGATGGCGATCTGCTTCATGCCTCGCATTGTATCGTCCGTCACGCCTCTTAGATCGTCCATGTACGAGGCGAGCATCTCGCGCGCCTGTCGACACGACTCCCCGAACACGAGCCCGCTGATCTTCTCATTGATGTTGGGAGCGATGAGTCGGCGTTGTCGCGCCCAGTTTTCGCCGTCGCTTGTGATTAAGCTGGGTCCGAAGATATTCAGGATCACGCCGCCGATATCCGTGTTTGGGAAATCCTTGATCCGTTTGAGAACCTCTGAGGCCAATTCGGGATCCATAAGACTCAGTTCGTTGGAACCGGCCGTCACGAGAATAAACGCCGGACCGCATTTCTCGAAGATGGCGTTCTTGCTGCGAAATTCGAAGCCGTAGGTCGCTAGGTTGATGGGTTCGTAGGCCCAGCCCGGAAGAAACCTTTCAAAAAGGGGCCGAAGGGGGACAGAGAAAATCATCCATATCGGATGGTAGTTGTTTAGAGGGAAGATGATGATGGGGAGGCCCGTTTTGCGCGCTGAGAGGTAGTTCTTGAAGAGATTCCAGAGCGTCGAAACCACCCACAGTCCGTAAAGCGTGAGAAGGATCGAAATCCACGACATGGCCGGGGTTTTCGAGCGAGTGTCAAGCTTCCAGCTTTGCAAGATGCGCTCCGTTCCCAATCAACTGCCGACTTTGCAAAGATTGGGTTATGAGAGCCCGATATGATATAACCGCCCTTCGATGCTCGTATTGGTAACGTATCGCTGTGTCAATGAATTCTCAAGGTCTTCCGAGCCTATATAACTCTACCACCATGACACTGGAAGATCCTGAAAACAAAGGAAAGGCCAGGTAACGATGGGACGGAACGAAACCAGACGAGTTCACGAAAGATCTTTGGGACGTACATAAATCCTTTTGTTTTCCAAGCAAATGCTGGGCGCCTAATAGGGGCCGGATACCCTCAACCCATGCTAAGAAGCGAGCGCGTAAGAAAATATGAATGCTAGATACGCTATTCCAAGCTCCCCCCTCCCCCCCCCCCACTGTCAGCATTCTCCATGCACGAAACATGCCCCAAATCACTTCGTGATGTTTCTGGAGTCGGTATTGTTCTGGCGGGGCAGAGAAGGAGGATAGAAAGAATATGCATCTTCCCCCTGATGAGAGAAGTGATAAGTAGCACACAAGCCTGCCCCAAGATTGGGCAACTGGCTGCAATATGAGCGTTGGAAGAGGGTATATTCATTCATTCAGCGAGCCTCGCTATGCATTGGATCCGTTACAAATTTTCCTAACCCTCGGGTCGTCCGACAGGTGCATACCTCTCTATTCAGCTTCTTTTCTCGGCTCTGCATCATCGGGACAGTGCAATATCATCAATCCGAAGGATCATCTTGACTGTCTCGGCTGCCAACTCAATGGCACTCGTACTCACAAACAGGGGCTGGAGTACCTTCTCATCTGCAATATTCGTCTTCACTCCACCACTTTTGATGCTGACCCCAGCGTTCTTTTCACCCATGTCATGTCGGTGGCGAAGGTCTGTCACGACCTTGATGCTGTTAAGACCTGCATTCTCCGCTAAAGTGGTCGGAATAACCTCCATCGCTTCGGCAAAGGCTTTCCAACATATGGATTCCGTGCCCGCCAACTCCCGCGCCTGCCTTGCTAGTTGATAAGCAATTTCGATTTCAGGCGCACCGCCACCAGCGATAAGGGCCTTCTTCTTCACCAGACACCGGATAACACACAAGGCGTCATGGATTGAGCGCTCTGCCTCGTCCAGTACCAATGTGTTCGCACCCCGGGCGACGATTGATACTGTTTGATGTTGTGGCGATGCCGTTCGAATGCCTGTGACCTTGACGTACCGAGCTCCCGACGACTGAACTTCCTCTACCAGGTCCGCACTGCCCAGCTTGTCCTCCGCGAATGTGTCGATGTTAGCGATGGGTTTGCAGCCCGTGCTCTTGCACAAGAACTCTACTTCGTCCCGTTCGATGTCCTTGATAGCCATGATCTTCAGACGCGACAAGAAATGTAAAGATAAGTCGTTGACCGCATCCCGCAGAATCGATTTCTGGATGAACAGAACATTGCATTTGGCCTTCTGGATTTTCTTGACCATGTTGAGCAGGTATGTCCTCTCCTCCTTCAAGATCTTGTCCATTTGTCTGTAATCATTGACCACGATCTGATTTTCCATATCTGGTTTCGGAGGGCTGAGCTGGAATTGGATCAATGCGATCTTTGCCTTTTCTATCCTGGTTGGACCACCGCTGCTCTTGATGACTGGTTGGTTGAGGACGAGTCCATCGATCATTTCCGAGTCTTCAATGGTCCCGCCCACCTTTTTGATGATTCGAATGTTCCGCAGATCGACATTCTCAGCAGTCTTTGGGTCGATTGTCTTCAACACGGCATCCACCGCCATGGGACCCAGCAATCCAGAATGTTGCGACACGATCTTCGAAGAGAGGGAAGTCGAGGCAGCTTGCAGCAGGGTGGTCCGATCGGATAGCGAGATTGGCTGGGACATGTCCTGTAAAACTTTTACGGCGGCTTTGGAAGCCCTCTGGAAGGATTCAGAAATGATGGTAGGATGTATGCCTTTCGCAAGTAATCGGTCTGCGGCTCCGAGGAGACTGCCAGCAATGACAACCACGGACGTCGTCCCATCACCCGCCTCGACATCTTGCGCATTGCTTAAGTCCACCAACATCCTCGCTGCAGGATGCATAACACTCATGCTCTTCAACATAGTACTTCCGTCGTTCGTAATGAGATTCTCTCCTTTGCCCGACTGTATCATCTTGTCCATTCCTCGAGGACCGAGTGACGTTCTGATGGCATCCGCGACTGCCCTGGCGGCCATAATGTTCGCTGTCCGAACAGCCATTGGCTTCTCTTTGTCCTGTACAAATGTCAGGGATAGAGTGTTGTTGCATCATCTGCGATCTGAACGAACCTTGAATGCCGCATTTCCCACATTGCCTTGGATTCCCAACGCTGCAGCCATGACGGGCTACTCAGACAGGAAATGAAGATCTGGGTAGAGGCAATGAAGCGGTGTCGCAACAGAAGCCTGGCTGTTAGAGATTTATCTCATTGAATGCAGGTATCAGGCAACGTGAAATTTCCATGAAAGTTGGAGAACCACCAAGAGCGGGTTGCGGCCTGCGGTCTGCGGTCTGCGGTCTGTGGCAATCCGTGGCTAGTGGCTTACATAAGGTGATCAAAGGTGATTCAGGCACCGTGCTGGGTGCGCGGACTACGGAGCACTCGAGCCCTGCATGATTCGCTTTGCCCTCTCGCATGCTCTTGTCAACACTCTCGCCATCCGATCCATCTCCATAACCATCTCGCTTGTCGTACTCTCAACCTCGCAACGTTTTGCTCCATATATCGGTGCTCAGTTCTCTGTTCCCTTCTCGACTGCCGTTGTACCCTGCCTTCATACCATATTCCGCGAAGATGCCCAGCGCAACCGGCCAGAACTGGGAGAAATACCAGAAGAACTTCGCTGATGAAGATGTGCCAGAGAAGAAGATTACACCTCTGACAGAAGAGTAGGTGTTGATTTGAATGGCCTGCAGGGGCTTATGCGTATTGACCTTGTTCAGAGACATTCAGGTGCTGAGAACCTATGGAGCGGCGCCATATGCAGCTGCTTTGAAGCAGATTGAGAAGCAGATCAAGGAGAAGCAACAGAGCATCAATGAAAAGATCGGTGTGAAGGTATGGAGCCGCTGTTCTCTCAAGATCCCTTGCTGATATCGTCGCAGGAGTCAGACACTGGCCTTGCGCCCCCTCATCTTTGGGATGTTGCCGCGGACCGCCAACGAATGCAAGAGGAACAACCACTTCAAGTCGCTCGATGTACGAAAATCATACAAGACGAAAAGGATAGCGAGAAGAGCAAATATATCATCAACGTCAAGCAGATTGCCAAATTCGTGGTCAACCTCGGAGAACGAGTCAGTCCTACAGATATCGAGGAGGGAATGCGCGTCGGTGTCGATCGTCAGAAATACTCCATCATGCTTCCCTTACCGCCCAAGATCGACCCCAGCGTAACAATGATGACAGTGGAAGACAAGCCCGACGTCACGTATGGAGATGTTGGTGGCTGCAAAGAGCAAATCGAAAAGTTAAGGGAGGTCGTTGAGATGCCATTGCTATCACCAGAGCGATTTGTCAAGCTCGGAATCGACCCTCCGAAAGGCGCCCTGTTATATGGACCTCCTGGTACTGGAAAGACTCTATGCGCGCGAGCAGTCGCCAACCGAACAGATGCTACATTTATCAGGGTTATCGGGTCCGAGCTGGTTCAGAAGTATGTTGGTGAAGGTGCGAGAATGGTTCGAGAGCTCTTCGAGATGGCACGGACGAAGAAGGCATGCATCATCTTCTTCGACGAAATTGATGCCATTGGCGGTGCTCGGTTTGACGATGGTGCCGGTGGTGACAACGAAGTCCAGCGAACCATGTTGGAGCTTATCACCCAGCTCGATGGTTTTGACTCGAGAGGAAATATTAAGGTCATGTTTGCCACTAATCGACCTTCGACGCTGGATCCGGCTTTGATGCGACCGGTAAGTCCCGGCCGCAATATCACCTCACAATGCATGCCTTTGCTTACTGACATAACTGCGACAGGGTCGTATCGACCGCAAAATCGAGTTCTCATTGCCTGATCTGGACGGTCGTGCTGGTATTCTTAGGATCCATGCGAAGTCGGTGAGTAATTATTGTTTTTTTTTTTTTTAATAGTCTGTGAAAGAACAATACTGACTTGAGAAATCTAGATGTCGGTTGAGAGGGATATACGCTGGGAGGTAAGAAAGCTTTGTCATTCGACCATGTCCGCATTTGAACAGGCTAACGGAGATTTGCAGCTCATAGCAAGATTGTGCCCTAACTCGACCGGTGCCGAGCTAAGGTCAGTCGCTACTGAAGCCGGCATGTTCGCGTGAGTTTTCCTCGTCTTTACAATATTTGGGATTCACAACAGACTAACAAATGGTTGCAGCATACGTGATCGAAGGAAATTGACCTCTGAGGCCGACTTCCTTAAGGCCATTGACAAGGTGATCAAGGGGAATTTGAAGTTCGGAAGCACGGCGGCATATGCCCAGTACAATTAGAAGAAGAATGGGTTCTTGGATCGTTTTCGAGCGTTGCATTTTCCTGGAGTTGAGTAAGGCTAGCCCGGCAGCCGGCGAGCCCAAGGGCTTGTATCATAAACCTGGAGCTTGAACAACGGAGATGGAAGAGGATTAAGTCGACCTCTTTTCGACCAAAGACATGCTTATGAGGTACAAGCCTACCAATATGTCGTTGTATCGCGAACATATCCGTGTATGTACCTATCACAATCAAGAGACCGGTGCTCAGGAAATGCGATAGTCCCACTGTAGGGAGGTCATTCCAGTGGCCGAACCAGGCGACCAACATTCACAGCTGAAGACCAAGAACTTGAAGAGATGAAAGAAGCTATAATGATGACGACAAGATATACGACGTATGTAGACTGGTGTTTTGGAGGTGTTGAGGTCACCTTAGTCACCCCACCGCGCCTCCACTGCACCAGCCAAAGTAATGCAGTGAATTACCTCTGACCCGATTGGATAATATCTCGTCGTACACCTCGGGACTAGACTGCGGTCTTTGCTTCAATCGAATGTGCAGGTTCATCCCTCTTCTGAACCACGCCATCTCGCCTTCATCTCCATCACACCAAATCTCTTGTCGAAGCGCAGGCCTTGGATGACCTGTGCCTATCCAATATGAGCTGTCTCAAGGTTTTGCGGAGCTTAGGTCCCTGCAACAAGGTACATACGAGCTCCATCTGTCTGATCCGAATCTGACCCGATCTGTGTAGTTCTCGACGAGCTTGAGACAAACAAGTAGACGTCAATTTTCCTCAACGAGACCTGCCGGTATGTTCGGAATGCATTACCAAGATACCTAGCGGAGACTGAGACATGCCACTAGCCCGAGTCATCGCTTCTCAACCTCTGCGAGCGAAAGAAGCCGAATCGTTTCCCTATGGCACCTATCCGATCATAGAGTTTGTAGACCTCTGTGGAAGAGCCTGATACAAACTAACAACTATTTATAGTCACCAATATGACGCCGTTGTTGTTGGTGCAGGCGGCGCAGGTTTACGAGCAGCATTTGGTATTGCTTCAAGGGCTAATGGCATTCTTCCTCTCTTCGTTTATTGACAATGGTGAAGGTCTCGCCGAAGCTGGTTTCAATACAGCATGCATCTCAAAGCTGTTTCCCACACGAAGTCATACAGTGGCGGCGCAGGGCGGCATCAATGCTGCGCTAGGAAAGTGAGTATGATTCGTTTGTCGCAGCAGAGCGCCGTTACTAATGCGTCTACAGCATGCATGAGGACGATTGGAGATGGGTAAGTCTGTACAAGTGTGATTTCGGCAGTCTCCCTTGGAATTTCTGGGAGCTTCTGCGGAAGATAAACCGTTCCACATGATACATGATCATTGAACAAGCTAACTCGGTAACCTCTCCCCCATAGCACATGTACGATACGGTAAGCCTTTCCGAGGCCCTCGCACGCAGCCCCTCGATGCTAAATTCTAGCTAGGTTAAGGGATCGGACTGGTTAGGCGACCAGGACGCCATCCATTACATGACCCGCGAAGCGCCACGATCCGTCATCGAACTCGAAGGGTACGGATGCCCATTCTCTCGAACCGAAGATGGTCGGATATACCAACGTGCTTTTGGCGGACAATCGCAAAAATATGGGAAAGGCGGACAGGCATACAGATGCTGCGCCGCTGCTGATCGAACCGGTCATGCTCTCTTGCACACGCTCTACGGCCAATCCCTCAATTACAACACCAACTATTTCATTGAATTCTTCGCATTGGATCTGCTGATGGAGGACGGTGTCTGCAAAGGTGTCATTGCATACAACCAGGAAGATGGCACTCTCCACCGATTCAAAGCGCAAAACACTGTCCTCGCAACAGGCGGTTATGGTCGCACATACTTCAGCTGCACCTCCGCGCACACGTGTACTGGCGATGGTATGGCGATGGTTGCACGTGCAGGTCTGCCGAACCAGGATCTCGAATTCGTCCAGTTTCACCCGACTGGTATATACGGAGCCGGCTGCTTGATCACCGAGGGGTCTCGTGGTGAAGGTGGTTATCTCCTCAACTCTGAAGGTGAACGATTCATGGAACGCTACGCACCGACTGCAAAGGATCTCGCTTCTCGAGACGTGGTATCTCGATCAATGACGATGGAAATTCGCGAAGGTCGTGGTGTCGGACCTGAGAAGGATCACATCTATCTTCAGCTCAGCCATTTGCCTGCAGAGGTTCTCCATGAACGACTCCCAGGAATCTCAGAGACAGCCTCGATCTTTTCCGGTGTTGACGTCACGAAACAACCGATCCCTGTTCTGCCCACTGTGCACTACAACATGGGCGGTATCCCAACTAAATACACCGGTGAAGTTCTCCGTCTCGACGCCCAAGGCAAGGATGAAGTCGTTCCCGGACTATTCGCCTGCGGTGAAGCTGCATGTGTCTCAGTCCACGGAGCGAACCGCTTGGGCGCTAATTCTTTGCTTGATCTGATCGTCTTTGGGCGAGCCGTCTCTCACACCATCCGTGACAACTTCACACCGGGTCAGACGCAAAAAGAACTGGCTGCCGACGCAGGGGCGGAGTCAATCAACGTCTTGGACAAGATCCGAAACTCCGACGGTCCCAAGAGCACCGCAGAAATTCGACTTGCCATGCAAAGAACCATGCAGACCGACGTCAGTGTCTTCCGAACACAGGAGTCGTTGGATGAAGGTGTGAAGAAGATCACCGAGGTTGATCAGATGTTCGACCAGGTGGGCATTAAAGATCGAAGCATGATTTGGAACTCGGATCTTGTGGAGACGCTCGAGTTGAGAAATTTGTTGACGTGCGCGTAAGTACTGATCGAAGTCACCCTGCAAGACGAGATACTGACGACAACATCTGTAGAACCCAAACCGCAACTGCGGCGGCGAACCGCAAGGAATCCCGCGGTGCCCACGCTCGTGAAGACTACCCTGAGCGTGACGACGAAAACTGGATGAAGCACACACTTTCATGGCAGAAGACGCCACACGGCAAAGTCGAGTTGGGTTACAGGGCGGTCACTAGCCACACGCTTGATGAGAATGAGTGCAAGTCTGTCCCGCCTTTCAAGCGAACATATTAAGCAAACAGGTGCACGCACACCAGGGGGGTCTGAGACGGTGTTTCGTTATGAGTTTCGCGTTATGTCGATAGCATGGTCCTATACACGGTACCAACAAACTCTAAGCAAATCCAATGTAAAAAGGTTATCGTGAGTTCACCACACCGAACAGACCTAGTCGTGTTACCATTTCACTCTCCAATTACGTATTCACATCCTACATAGTACATTCACAGTCAGTCAGAGGCGCCCTGTAAATCGAGAGTACAAATTACTCGACACAGAGGGGGTCCCTAACAATGCCAACTGGCAGCAACCATTACATACACCCACCCATCCATCAGATAGGTTCCGTCACCCAGAGGACTTTGGCAGATTATCAAGGTGAGGTACTCACCTTCGTCACCCATCCATACCTCATGCACTCTTCCTGCAGGCACATCAATGCGGGCGCCGACACCAAAGGTCTCCTTGGTCGGGTTCGCGTCCTCAGGATACGTAATTGTCAACGAGCCGCGGCGGATCAGGTGTGTGGTGAGGCCGCTGTGAGAGTGGGGTGGGTAATGTGCGTAGCTGCGTAATTATCTTGCTTCAGTATGCACGAGCAACAGATGCAGTTGTCAAGCATGCATAGAAGTACGAGGTATGCAACTCGGCATATACCGATACATAGCAACGGACCCAATGCGGCCGCGGCCTTGTACCACCATAGATATCCCGTGTGTGTTGGGGGACATCACTCACGGTCCATCTGTCCACGTGAAGACGTGAGAGAATCCCCATTCTCGCACGGTCTTTTCGTCTTGCGAGCGTGACGTTGTTCGGGCGGACATGGTTCTCGAATACCTTTCGATACCTCAGAATTTGTGATGGTTTCTAGACAAGGCAGGGGACATTTGAATTCCCGATGTCGCTGAGGTGGAGGGAGAATGCAAAAGAGTGATATCCTGCAAATGCCAGAGATAAAGTCGCCCGCCTGTCGCCGAGTTGCTGCGTTACGTATGCCAAGCTCCACATTCGCCCTTTGGCTTCATGTCTCAGCCTGTGGTCTTGTAACAGCTTGAGCCTCGTGAAGGTGCGCATATCTGGGAATGTCTTATACCTCCTTGCCTCGTTGCCGACTTTCAGTGGCGAGACCCCTCAACAAAATGTGGCCAGGATTTTTGATTGCTTCGTCTCATTTTGGTGGTCCCTCGTTTGGGGTCCACAGGCACGTTTGGTGGCATTGCTTAGCTGGGAGATCTGACCCGCGAATGCATCTCTAGCTGTTCACCACACCCGTCGAGGCGTGCTCGTGGCCATCTAAGAATGTAGACCAAGGAGTTGAGAGATGGAGAGATGGACGGTGGAGAAGTGGAGAGGTCCTCTGTCTTGCGTTTCACTGGCATTCGCAATTCGAGGTTGCTTCGCGGAGTTGAGCTCCCGGAACACAAAAGTCCTTTCTTCGACCGACCGGTACGGAATCCAGTACCTCCACCGATCCGATCGCAATAAATTGAGACAGGGAATCATTCATGGAGCTTGGGGCTGAAGGGGACAAGGCTGAGGGTCGTGTGTGGTAATTGGACGTTCGGCTCGCTACAACCATGACCCCAGCCTCGAAACCTCGTGGGAATTCCGCAGCCCCACGTCATCACTACAGATGGAGCATCCGAGGCCACTGTTGTTTTCCGCCCTCACCGAGCTTACGCGTTGAGAATATAAATCTGATCAGAGTCTTTGAATAAAGGATGAGCCTAGGTACGCCGTAAATGGGGCGGTTGGCGGTCTACGGTAAAGAAGAAGATGCAATTTCCCCGGATGCAGCTTGTCTCCATCCTCCTACGTAATGCAATCAAGCTTGTTCAAGGCTGGCCACTTGGAAGAGGCCTCAACGTGGCGTGGAGGTTGGATAAAGTCAAAAAAGGGGCAAGCCTCAGGGGAACTGGTGGAGAGGTGTCAGCCTTATTGGGACTAGCCTTGTTGACGGGCTATCCCAAGTTGCCTAACCTTGCCTAACCCAACGCCTCGTCCCTCCACCGCACATCATTCCAACCTCTCCCAACTCCTTTTTAGAAGATTTGGTTGAGAGGTCAGGGATGCTACCTGTCACCAGCTTCCATGTCCCAACTCTCCTCGCAACAGATAGCGCAATTATGTGTCCTCAATTTCTGGCACCAGGTAAGGGTTCAACAGAAGCCAACCCGCTGGAAGCTGACCATGAAGCTTGCCACAACAGCATCTGGACTGGTATTCGCGTTGATCGCTGTCAACCAGGGCTCCTGTGGGCTGACGAGTTCTACCTCCACAAAATCAGAGGTGTGTCCCCCTGCCCAGCCAGCCCAAGGCTGAGGCGCCAGGATCGCTCCCTCCCCCCTGCATGAGAACAGCCGCCAATCCTCCCATTGCTTTTTTGGCCTCTTTGTTCCCCAAGTTGAACTTGGCCCTCCGGACAAGAATGCTGGCGGCTCCACTTCAAGGCCATTGTCGGGCCAGACGCGGCCAACGATGTCGGCGATCCAACGCCTCGACAATCTGGGAAGGACAATGAGGGTGGGCCCACAGGCGGGCATTGTTTGTTTCACATTCATGGTCTACGGCAAGTCATGGGGGCTGAACGATGGTCTGGTCGAGAATGGATCTGGTATATTTCGTCCCCCCCCGAGTTTCTTTATACCCTTTCTTTCCCAACCTCCGCCGAGTTTCCCAAAAGTCTGAGACTTTCGTTGCGCTCTTTCGACACCACACTCTTTTCATCCCCGGAGGATTCATCACGCTCTTTTTGCACCCTACAAGCACCTCCCCCCTTCTACCTTCCTTACGTAGGCCGATCTCGACCACCACATTCATTTTCCCCCATTCAAACAAAGGAAATCCTCCAGATTCACAAAAGAAAGCAAACATGCAGATCGTCAAGACTTTCTCCGTCCTGGCTCTTGCCACGGGTGCTGTCGTTGCCATGCCCGCTCATGTCGAAGGCCAACTTGCCAAACGACAATTTTGGGGTGGAAACCGATTCTGGCAGCGTCCCAACCCTACGGCCGAAATAACCGTCACTGGCTACGCGCCTGAGCCAACTGGCGCGTGGACTACCGAAGCATCTACTACCTCAACCACAACCGTGGCTACGACTACATCCACCACAACTACTGTAGAGGTCGTAGTCACTGCCACCCCGGCCGCCGACTTCAACTATGGTGGTCGCTACAACAGACCAACACCAGAGGAGTCAACCCCCACAGCAGCACCTGCGGCTCCTGAAACCCCATCAGCTGCTCCTGCTCCCTCTTCAGCTCCGGCACCGAGTACTGGCTCTTCTCAGGACGGCTACATGTCGGTCGTCTCGAAATGGCGCGCTGCTGGTGGCCTTCCTGCTCTCTCGCAGGACAGCACACTCGAGGCCAATGCCCTGAAGACCAGCACAGACAGCGTCGGCGGCCTGATTCACGAATTGAACCCCGGCACCATGGCGCAAGTATTGGCTCCCGGTACTCCCTCTAATTTCGAGAGCGTCTATGTTGGCGGATGGCTTTGCGAAATCCCGAGCCTGCCTGGCTTGGACGGCATCTGCTCTACCGAAGCACAAGGCTGGGACCACTCAAACGGAGAGACCGGTCACGCAGAGATCCTCACCAGCACCTCTTATTCCAAGATCGGCTGTGCGCTGTCTTCGAGCACAGGCGTATGGGCATGTGACCTGGCATAGCATGTCGTTAGAGTACGATCCGCCTTTGGTATAATTTGGTCATGGCTAACAGATCTGCAGCTTGGCATGGAGGAAGTTTTCCTTCTCTTTGCATATCTAATTATTTCTTCTCCTGGAAGTCATGTCAATTCGATGGGTTGAAGAGGTAGTCTGTCGGAAAGACATCATCTGTGCAAAGCTCGTGGGGATTTTTTGGAAACCTTGTCGAGCCGAGCGGAAATATATGAAATTTCATTGCCTGTTTCATTTCTTCTGCCTTGTCTTTTTTGGAACGAACCATGAGCAAATGAGGTTATTTTGTAGATAAGGCTTCAAAATCTACCTGCTCCTTTTCTCTCTGACCCTGGCTTACGGTGGCTTTTTTCCTGCTCTGATGGCACAGTATGTACGGAGTACTCCGTAGTATGTAGTATGTGTATTCGGTATACGGAATATCAAGCGTAACCCGCCCTGCTCGACTTGCCCGCCTTGCCCGCCTTGCCCGCAAGGCTCCTGCAGGAGTGACAGACTTCTTGGCGCTGGTGACGCCATTCCTTCCAGGCGCTGCAGAACCTCAACGCAGGCTGTGCCAGCATTGGGCTCCACCGACCGACGCAGCTAGCGACGCGAAAAGACGTCCATTTTCAGCTCTACCAGGAACTCTGTATGAGTTATGTGATGATGGCCAACGCCAATGGCAGGCGCAAAGCCCTCAGGACGATCCCTCCACGTGTATGGCTGGTGAGGCTGGACAGCCGATGCCTGCGCTGCTAGTGACCACCGCTAATGCCTGCACTTCTTCCCAAACCCCAAAATCCATCCTGGGTGACAGTTGTCAATTCCCACTTTGATATGCCTGGACTTCGCTCTTCTGTACCTCTCTTTCGCTTTTTCTTCGTGACCTGACCTCGAAGACTGTGGTCGTTACCTCGCCGTCCCTCTTCGAAACTGAATACCGCAGACAACATCGTCCCCTCCACCAACTACGCCATATAACTCCTTATCCACAAGCAATATACACCGCTGAAGAGAAAGAAAGATACATTAAAGGAGATGGCGCATGCGATTTTGGGGTACCAGCTCCCTCTTCGTGCTGGCGGAGGCGGCCAGCCTTCAGAGGCCGCGACAGATTTCTCCCTGGAGCCTTTCGCAGAGTCCGTCCTTTCGCATCTCGTCTCAGCGAGGAAAGAGATCTCGTCACAAGATGGGAAAATGTTCGCTGATGAGAAGTCGTTCTTGACGTACATGGCTTCCGACCAGTCGAACGCAATGTCGACACCCATGGGCAACGACCTGAGCTACCCCATGTCCTCTTACTTCATAAGCTCCAGTCATAATACATATCTTTCTGGCCATCAGCTCTATGGCGATGCCTCTGTGTATGCCTATACCAACGTTCTCAGGCGCGGGTGTAGGTGTTTGGAAATAGACGTATGGGATGGTGAAAGCGACCCTGAATCCAGCACCTCGGACGACGAGGAGGACAAGTCTGATAAGTCTGACCCGAAGCCATCGCGCTGGAATAGAGTCAAAGCTCGAGCAGCGCGCATGCGCTCAAGCTCGCGGTCAGAATCCCTTGCGGCCACCACCAGCAATACCATGTCCGACAAGTCGTCTGTTCCGCCGGCTTCTCAACCCCAAAACACGCTACAGCGAGAGTCGTTTGCCTATGACCCCAACCATCTTTCACCACAGCCTTCACCCTCAATTCTTCCCAAGGGTGAGCCGCGAGTACTTCATGGTTATACACTGACTCAACCCATCACCTTTCGCTCTGTCTGCCATGCTATCAGGGATTCGGCTTTTTTGAGCACAGAACTGCCATTGATCGTATCCCTAGAAGTGCACGCCTCCCTTTCCCAACAAGAGGTCATGGTCGAGATCATGCGCGATGTTTGGTCCGAGTTCCTAGTATGTCTGCCCAAAGGCACAGACATTTCGGCGCTTCCTTCTCCAAAGTCACTCATGCGAAAGATTTTGATCAAAGTTAAGTGGGTCCCGAATACAGAAACCGGAGAATCCAATGACCCAATTGAGCATGTGAGCTCAAATTCCACGGATGGAGCGGGAAGCGATGCAATATCCAGTTCCCCAGAGAAACGGAAAAAGGCCTCGAAAGTGCTGGCTGCCCTTTCAGAATTGGGGATCTATACTCGGGCCTATACGTTTAGGCATTTCTCACAGCCTGAAGCCACTATCCCAACACACGTCTTCAGTTTGTCGGAGAAGAAAGTTCGCAATATGCAAGACGACCCGTCGCATGGTCCTGCCTTGTTTAAGCACAACAGAAATTTCCTCATGCGCGTGTTTCCCAGAGGCACGAGAATCAACAGCTCAAATGTTGATCCGGTCTTCCATTGGAGACAGGGTGCCCAAATGGTAGCTTTGAATTGGCAGAAACTGGACAAGGGAATGATGCTCAACGAGGGAATGTTCACGGGAACAGGTGGTTGGATGCTCAAGCCAGAGGGCTATCGCAGCACCGCAATCCATGGACGCGCAAACTCGCAAAGAGAAATTGAACCGCAAAGGCAGCCTCTAGATCTGGAAATTCGACTTCTCGCAGCGCAACGGCTCCCCATCCCTACCGATAAGGATATCTCGCACGCCTCCAAAATGAGACCATATGTCAAAATGCAATTACACGTCGATTCTCTTTGCTCTCCTGACTATGGTAAAGGTTCGGACCGGTTCGGCGACGCCAAAAAGGAAACCGATCCACATGGCGGTGAAGAAATCAACCCCAGCCTCTTTAAACGTAGATCCGCCAGCGCCCGCACCGATTGTCCCGATTTCAAGGGTGAGGTAATGAGCTGGCTGAATATGTCAGACGTCCTCCAAGAATTGAGCTTCATTCGGTATGTGTTTTTTTTTTTTGGCTTATGTCTTTCCGATATCTCTAGGTTCATTTTCCAAAATTCCTTTCGTTCCTGGAAAGGACATATATCCGCTTCAGCACGGGCGTCATCATCATGCCACTGTTTCCAGCGTTCAAGCGACAGAAGCTCGCCTGATGCCTTTCGCTACATTCTTTTCACCGCAAGTTTTTGCCTGGTCTGGAACTGCTTTGCTTGTACTCCCTTTCAACTATCTTTTACCGGCGTCTACCCTGGCGACCTGCAAAAGTTCCGTTGTGCATTACAACATCCAGTGCATCATCAAGCGGGGAGACAATGGGCCAAGTTCTCAAGTCGCCGCCAAGCTGGGTTGTTAACCCCTGGCAAGTCTTGCATCATCTAGGCAATATTCCGCATTTCCACACGGCCGCTGGTGTGCGTTAACCTTTTCTTCGTCCGCCAAGAAGACAACAAACAATTTGGGCCTGATCCGAGCTCGACCTTCACATTGCTGCAGCTGCAGGGCAGGGACCAATTGCAGGATTGTGTGACACGCATACGATCTTCATGTACGATCGTGTTACACGACATTCTTATTTTCGCCTACCCATCCTCATCTCCCGTCCTGCATCATTTAATGCGTGACAGGTCATATTGTGGCTTGATCGAGTTGCAGAGAACGTGGACCTTTTCTGACTCTGTGCATAGGCTAAAAGTCATGGACGACCGCTCGATTGGCAAGGACAACTTGCTGGCATGGGCCTGCATTCGACTCGACCGCTTGCAACCAGGGTATCGATTCATCCATTTGCTCGATTCGTCAGGTATGCCATCACGCGGGGCATTGCTTGCACATATCTGTAAGCGCATGGGTTGAGTGGTCGGTTGAGCTGTGGAGCCCCTGGTCTGCGTTCCCCGCTTGGAGCAGAACGTTCTCCTGGGAATTTTCCCACCACCAAACACCATATCCCACGTTTTGATTGGGCAGGGGAGACGTCTGACCTTGGAGAGGTGCGGTCGAAGTACACCTGTGTCGCAGTTTGCAGAATAACATGCGTTCTTTCACATTTTTACTTCGTGTTGGGGCCAACGATTGCGGGCTTAAAGTCTTGGTACCCCTGATTCTCCGGCATTAGACCACATCTTTTGGCCATTGGCATCCAATGAAAACCATGGACGAGTTCGCAAGCGTCTTGGACGAAGACTATGCTGCTAGCGCTGATTTCAACCTCCCTTTGGACCAGGAAACCGGGTTTTCCTGGAGCATGACTGTTCTCTGCCAGTTGGATGGTGCGTGGAACTGAGCATCTTTGAGAGGATTTTTCTCCTGTTAATGCGTAACAAACTCTTGCTTCTGGGTCCCGACACATGGTGCAGGGTCCCGCTTTGGTTGAAAGCCCTCGACTGGCCCGCAAACGCCAAACACGGCTTGCCAGAATGCTGGAAGGTGGGCTCGCTCTAATTTGCCACAATCTCAATGCTGTGCGCAGACTGCAATTGCTGCTCGAGCCCATTGGGATGGCAGGGCGGTCTTGGGTTCGGAACAAGTTGCCATTTGTCAGGATTTGTTTTCCGGAGGATTGGAATGTCCAACACAGGTGACAGAACAGGTGGAATCTCATCGTCACACATGCCGCAACCTCAACGATTTCCTATCCGGCCATATTGGGAAATCAGACTGATACCTTCTCACTCAGATATGCCGGTTTGAATAGCAACGCGTGGCCGGTGAGACGTCAGGTTGCTTATTGATTGAAAGAGATGACTTTGTCAATGAATTCGGCAGAAAGTCGTTCCACTGGCTCGGCGCTTTGGTGAGGGCATGGAGTCAGCAAACCCTGATTGACCCAGGTTAAGACGACAATTTTTCAGGCAACATGCATATTGTGGGGTGCGGAGCTCTCCTTCTAAACCTTACCAGTCCTTGCAAATTCTGAATTTCACGGACAGACATGGAATTTGTGTCCGTAAAGTTTCCGGAAGACATTTTGAGCGGTAGAGGATATATAAAGATGAACAAGTCACTACTCCGTACCTCTATCCAGCTTCCTATTAGTGGAATCTCGTTGCAACTCCAAGTTGCGACCTCAGAGACATATAACACAGACACTAACTGACTACGTCAATATCACGTCTTTAACACGGACATGATGAGATTTACAACCATCAACCTCGACAGCGCTCCACCGTACCAGAGGAAGGCGCTAGAGACCAAAGTCCAGCACAACGGACGTCCGAATGTTCTCACCAGACCGGTGAGTTTAATCAACGGGAAGCCTTGACCGAGCAAGAAGCTGATCGAGTCACAATCAAGATGAACGGAGTACGATGCCCTCGCTGCAAAGGGAACGGACAAGAAGTCTGGGTCATCCCGTGAGTGTTCTCTCTCGCCGACGGTCTGTGTCTCGTTTGAAGAGGAGAGGTTGCTGTGCTCAGGCCGCGGCAAAATCAGGACAGGCTGACAGATGGCTCCAGGGGGACAAGATGCCACAAATGCGGTTATCCCTGTTGAAAGACGGATTTCTAATCGCACTCTCGAATACGAGTATGCTAGAAAGTTCTTTGTCCCTGAACTGACCGACTGATCCGTGAGCTACACCATAGTGAAGTTAGGCAAACGGGGCCAAATACTCTTCAGGGCCATAATGGTGCGGGTGTTTCGAGATGGTGTTGAGGTCAGCTTCATGGGTCGCTTGCAACTTGCTTACAGGTACAAGGGGAGAAAGATGAAAATGAGCCAATCCAAAGGCGGGAAAGGATACGCAATATACTTTAGGGAAGGCTTTGAATGCTTGTCATGGCATATAGTCGTAAGTTCAGTCCTGAGAAGGGGCAAACGCACTGATGCTTCGGAACATGTTCTCCATCAGGCTGCGCTATTTGTTGACGCAAGGGGGCTTGATTGGGGACTGATAGTGACGTTGCTGACCTGGATGCGGGACGAAAGCATCTTCGAGCAAGACTTCGACAAGGTTTGAGCAGCGTCAGTCCCGGAGTATACGTAACTAGTTGATGTTGCTAAGGTACATGGTAGGGGGAGAAGAGTAGACGTTGTGTTATGAGTGGCCGTAGGGGATGATTCCGTCTTCCCACAGGGTCCGTCCTCGGCCCAGTCGACTTAATGCACGATGGATGGGGCAAATGCACAACACTGGCATGGGAGCCTGGAAAGATCGACAAGGCAGGACAGGGCATCGAGTAGTAGTAGAGTGGTCGAGCAGGGTATACCTGTCCAAGTATATCGTACTCCGTACCTAGGTATTACCTCCTCGGTGTTGTTCTCGAACAATGTGCTCGGGGGGGTTCGGGGGACGATGCGCGGCAGGCCCGGCAACGCCCAGATACCACTTGCGGGTGGAAGAGCGTTTCCGCCCAGACTTGCACGTGCACAGCAGCCAATAAGAGCGCGTATGATGCTCTTGGCACTGACCCCGCCTGAAAAGCCAAGTTTCAGTTCCATCGTCGAACAAGCACCCACCAAAGCTCCAACCTGCCAACTCGCAGCTCGCACGGAGCCCAAAATCGTCTAAGCTCGATAGGACGATAGGGAAAGGAGGAACAGGAGGAACATCGACTCGCACAATCCTCTGCTCTCTCGCAGCGGCACACCTCACACCTCACACTTCACACTTCACACTTCAAACCTCGCGGAGGGTCGGCTCAGATCACTCACTCAATCAACTGCTTCCACTGCAATCAGCGCCGCCCCCCCCTTCGCCTTTCGTGATCGCATCATTGGTCATCGTTGGTTGCTGAGTTGGTCCTTGGCAAGACATCCTTTTTGGGTGTAAGGCTCTTTTCCTCGCCATCTCCCGCAACTACATTTCCCATCTTTGCCCATTCCATTGTACCCATCTGGAAGTGGTGGAAGCCCAAACACCTCAAACTGTCAGCTCGGCAGCGAACCGAGGCCGTTTTCCATCAACCACCCACCCGCCAGCCCACCACTCTAAAGGTGCATCACCTGCCATTCCCTTGATCCGGTCTACGGTACACCTTCCACACTTCTGGCCCGCACAGCCTGAGCTACTCTCTTACGAGCAATCCGGCGAATCTTTGGCCGCTGCGACATTTTGACTACTATCGTTCCTCTCGCGCACCGTAATCGGTAGCGTGCCACACATCCTCTGCCCACACTGACCGCGAGCGTTGGTCCCGTTTAGCTCCAAGTTTGCCCCGAAATACCGGCCGTTAGAGCTCTAGGTATTCGCAGGAAATCACATGTGTTTCCAAAAGTGCGAGCTGCACCATCCCTACCCTTCTCGCTCTTGAAACAAGTTCAGGGCTGCCATGTTATGTCACGCCACCAGGGTCTCACAATCATGCCTAAGCCGAAAATTGTTCTGTACGCGGAAGCCCTGACCCACATCGGGCAATTAACTCTGCATGCTTCTCTTCAAACGGAAAAGAACGAACATACGAAAATCCTGCTTTCCTCCGATAAGAAAGTTATTACCGCCATTCACGACGGCGAGTCTTCCAGCATCTATCTTCCCACCCAAATCTCCGGCAGTGCGCATGTCACATTTCCGTTTGAGAAGAGGACAGAAATCTCAACACGCTTGCAGATTGACGACGTCGGCCACTTGAAGCCTACAAGTGAGGCACTCAGCGACGTCGAAGTCCCTTGGTCTGCAGTCAGCCTGCATGAACATAGTTCTATCAACTGCAGCCAATGCGACGCTTGCATTTTGGTGACGGACAAACTCGTCACCTGGAAAGATTTGCCCGGTGAAAACTGGGCGGATTTGATGGACTTTTGGTTCTGTCATAAGCCTAACAGCAAAATTTCCCCCCATGATCACGCCGCCGAGTCCGGAGACCTCCCTGCAAAGGGTAAAGTCACTCCCTCTCCCGGCGTGGGTTTAGTGGATACCGTTTCTTTCCTACTGTCGGAAGAAGATTGTGCAAATATCGAGGTGAGTCGGACCACAGCTGAATCTACGATGGAATAAAAGCCGCACACGTCATCGGCGTAAAGAAAGAAGCTTTTCAGGCGTCAAGCCAAGAGTCGATTGATCTAGTTTCTGATACATTCGCCGGACATCAAGTCTGTGATCGGTGACCTGGTGGTAGACTCAACCTCCTTTTAGTGACGGATGATCTGCCGCCATGGACCAAAGTACCATTCCTCCTCATTTCACCTTTGCGCCTTTGAGTGGCACCGCGCCAAGGGATATGCGTGAGGTACATTTGAGCTAACCGTTACTTCAGGTGACCAAGGACCCTTTAAAGGAAGGCGTCGGCGTCCTTCGATGCCTTTCTTGCAAGAGCTGCCTCGGTTTGAGCGCAGAGGACCAAAAAAGCTATCGTCTTTATAAGTCCAGGCTTGCAATAATCCCAGAACCAGGTCAAGCAGCAGAAAGATTTCCAGCTGCTGTCTTTCTGACTGCTCAGCTGCTGGCCTCAATTGCGAGCTCGGTGAATCGCAAGGTTGTTGTCCATGACGACGACAACCAATCTGACGCTGATCACGGCCTTCTGCTTTGGATCTTCAACCCAGACATCTACTATTCTAGCAGCAAACGTGGGCCCACTGCCCACCGTGCTATGAAGGTCTTCTACAAATCCATTCCCCACCCGGAGGAGTTTCTGGACAGGACCGGCTCGAACTGCGAAGAGCTTGTCGTTCCCAAAGAAGACTTTTTTCAATTCAAGCAAACCCTAGAAGAAAGCACTGATATCCTTCCTCAGTCGGCGCGAACGTTCCAGGACTGGAATGTCGGTCTTCTTGATCGATGGGAAAAAAATGCTACAGGTTCCGCGAAGATGGACCAGAACCCGTTGAACAAGAAAGTGGACGAAGGATTCGAGATATTCAAATTGCCAGCAGGAATGAAAGAACTTTACCTCTGAGGTCTGCGCTTCGGGTTCAGTACAAATCATCCATACACTCACAACTGGCGAGCCAACTGTACCAATAAAGATCTCAGGTCGACTCATGGCGTCGGACGCTGCCCACTTCTGCGAAGTCGGTTGCATGGATTCTCCAATGTCACGAAGTCGTCCATGTACAGAGCCGCTTCGATATCATGGTTTGCGGAAGCTCTGAGGTTTAAACGTTCAGAGAGAGCAAGAACATAAAGTTGACATTCGGGTGGATCACCAGAAACGTCCAGGGGGGCCTTCGCCAGGAATAGCCGCCCGTGACTATCACTCACCCGAGGGCAGGATTGACTTGTTGGACTTTGATCTTTTCGACTGGCCTCAAGAGACCACCTCTCCATCCAGAAAGGGGTAGAACAATGGGTGCTGGAGCGCCTAGCCACTTAAGACGAGACCTGGAAATGGCCCCACCGAATCTCGATTTACGGCACCAGTCCAAAGTAAAGGGATTGATCCTGAGAAGGGGAAGCCTAGGTTAAGATGCCATGCTAGGGCTCATCTATATTTAGTCAATTCTAATGAATGATGGCAGCAATGATTTCGGATCGCTTCCGGGCACACTGTTATTCGTTCGGATGTCGACTCATGCACGATGACAGCGAGGCATCCTCCAGCTAATCTGACAGCATGAATTCTGTGTCCTCGGAATATTGTGAAAAGCGATGCGCTTGGGATCAACCTATTCCGTGGAAGCTTTTCGCTGACACAAAATGCTAGCCTGAAAGCAACTTGTACACCTGCAGGGCACAGAGCACGTTTTATATAAATGCAGAGTATCGGATACCCCGTTTACTAACCGAAACTGATTCTGGAGGGTGACCGGTGAATCTCTTCCCCCATGAGAGTATGGCGGCCGAAAGCTGCTCACTGGGCCTTTCTTCTCGACGTGTCTGGTCCCGGACCGCTCGTAGAGGGACAAGGTGGACAACTTGAAAGATCCAAAACCCGGCTCCGACCGAGGTGGTCGTTGCTTGTGATGTGGTCCGTTTGCGGCTTCTTGATGAATGGGTGTTAGGAAGCGAGATCAAAAAGCACTTGTTGGTTTTCCAAAGAGCGCGACTATCCGCGTAGCGTATCCCTCACGCTCGCAAATGATTTTGGGTCTGCAACTGCTATGCATGGAGCTTTATCTTAGCAAGACCAAAAGATGGGATGGGTTTGCATGATTCGATATATTGAATCCATGCATATGCCCGAGTTAGCCTGAGAGTATGTCAAGAATCGAGCTCGGGTGTATGGTACAGGCCTGGCACTAGCTACCCGCCTTCAGTAACGGTGACACCGACTCTAATAGTATGAATGTGAGGCATTTCTTTACATTGACTTCCAGCCGCAAGACGCGTTCTAGTATTTCCCTCAAACAGGGCTCGGCTCACCTACTACTTTTGAAAAATTTCCACTAGACCTATTTTGGAACTGCAGCTTGGCTGTCTCGACATCAAGGCTCGTCTACAGAAAGCTCAATTGAAGCTCGCTACTGTTCTCAGACTTCCCTTTGCAACCGTGCTGAGCTCCGTCTTCACCATGAGCGCCCTCCGACTGTCCCGTGCAGCGCTGCGCGCCAGGTCTGCAATCGCTCTGAAGCCAATTCAACGAAGAGGATACGCCGAGGCCGTCTCCGACAAAATCAAGCTCTCCCTGGCCCTTCCTCACCAGGTACGTCCACCCGAGATCTGCTGGTCTGCAAGGCGAGAGAAGAAAGGATGCATCCTTTGGGTCAAGGAGTTGAACTGACAATGTGGTCGATACTTAGTCTATTTATTCCTCACAAGACGTGTACGTTGTCGAACAACTCCGGAACCCGAGCATCCCCATCGAACCCTCGATAAAGCCCCCCTGCTGACAACCATACCTCCAGTGTACAAGTGAACATTCCCGCCGAGTCTGGAGAAATGGGTATCCTTGCACAGCACGTCCCATCCATTGAGCAGTTGAAACCGGGCTTGGTCGAAATCATCGAGGAGAGTGGTGGAAGCAAGCAATTTTTCCGTACGTCTCACATCTAGAGCATGAGGTCGGCAACGTGGGATGTGGGAATCAATAGCTGACGCCGGACACTTTGCTGGCAGTTTCGGGAGGTTTCGCCGTCGTCCAACCGGATTCCGTGCTGAGCATAAACGCCGTGGAAGGGTTTCCTCTTGAGGATTTCAGCGAAGAGGCGATCAAGTCACAAATAGCGGAGGCTCAGAAGATTGCTAGTGGAAGCGGAAGCGAGCAAGACATTGCCGAGGCCAAGATCGAACTCGAGGTGAGATTATCCACAGCACCAGTGGTCTATTTGGGAGGACGATGGATGTGCTGACGCTGCATTTTCTTCGCTACACAGGTTCTCGAATCATTGCAGGCGGCAATGAAGTAAGAATTTGACTCGCTACGCTTTGTACATATAAAGGCGGAGGGAAAACCACAAAGGGCTGCTGTCAGGTCTCAGATGACTTGAATTGCAATATCTATTCCATGTGCTCCTGGACTTTGTTCACTTCTCTCTATGCTCTACCGCGTTTCAGCATTGGCTTAGCTGCCTTCGCTCGGGGAGGCCGCCGCGAACCAAATCCCGCTCTTGCATTGCGAAAGACACCAGATCATGCTGCCCTTGGGTGCACATCCCTTTTGAAATCTCGATCCATGCCGTTCACGCTCCTGCCCTGCCGGAGTCTTGCTTCCTGCACTACAACCTCTGGTCAGGCACGATCATTTCCCTCTCTGCTCTCATGGCACATTCGTTTTCTTCGCTAACCTTATCATTTCTTCCTCTAACGCGCCGTGGTCACCATGATAGGTTCCATATCACCATAGCCCTACTCATCTCCGAACATGGATAGCTCACAGAGGTCTGTGCTCTCGTCTCGCCTTAACCACGCCACGTTGCTAACGAATCTGCAGTCCGCAAGGTGTCACGGTGGCCACCCGTATTCGAGCGTTCCACCGACTCGAGACACGAATCCCATCATTCCATCTCCCTCCTCGCATTCTCTTCCCAGCCACAGAGTCTAATGTCTGCTCTGACCGAGGACAGAGGGAAGACTTCAGTTTCGCCTCCCCGGCTGGTCGAGCATCCAGAGATAGCAATGAAAGTATCCGAGGGGACGTATGTCTTCCCGTGGCCTCCATTTTCCACAAGGGGACAAAGAATTGTGAGCAAGGAGGTAATCCGGAGACCCTCCGGCTTCCCCCTTTCACCAGCATGGACGGCCCTGTCGAAGAAAGAACCCCTTCCCAGCGGCAAACCCTGCGGCAAGACGGCCACCGGCTCCGTCGACAACATCGATCAATGGAAAACGTAACAGATGATCCTGCTCTCGAGATTGCAATGGCTAGATCTCGGCTTCGCTCCATTGCTCCGAAAGAACAAGCTGTTTCGGAAGAGCCATCACGCGGCCGCTCGTACACCTTGGACGAGCTGAATATTATGCTGGATGACGCCATCAAAGATAGCTCTCCCAAACCTGATGTCTCTTCCGATGAGCAGCCTGCCACTCTCGCACCGAAACCCGGTTTCGTTCTCCGTCGAGCTTCTACCCGACAAGATCGCCGTCCGTCGCGATCTCGTGCGTGGCAATCCCGGAGCAGCACCGAATCTGTTGTGCCCCGGAGCAGCGAGGAATCAACGAGAGTAGAGTACGAGGGGGAGGAGAAGACGCAACAGCAAGACATGGGCGGCAAAGAAACTGACAAGCCAGAGTCCCCTGCTGCTGATCCGCGGCTGAAACCTCGTGCCGACCCAACCAGTGAATTGAGTCCTGTAAAGCAGAGAGCTGCCATGTTTGAAAGCCTCAGCAAAAAGACGACAGGCCATGAACGAGTTTGTCAGCATTTTGGGCACGAGCGTGATTCATCTCATCAGCATCAGCATCACCACCCTCCGCGTAAGGAGACAAAAAAGATCCACCGAATCAAATTTGGAGACACGATTGAGGAAAGACCAGGCACACCCTTGATTCCCTTGACCCTGCCAACACTCGTCACACAAGAGAAGACCAGCAGGCCTCCAAGTACACTGCAAAAGGAACATGTTGACGTTGAACATCCTGTGCATGTTGAAGAAGAGGCCATAAGTGACGACGTTTTCAAGGAGGAGAGGAAGCCTTCATTAGCTTGGCCTTTCAGATGGAGCATTTTTAACAAGGGAAATTCTGCGCCACCTCAGGAGACCGACACCCCTTCTTGTGATGCAGATGCAAAGGACGAACATTATCCGAAAACTCGACACAATATTGTTCGAAGCAAAGTTCAGGAGATACTGCAAGCCGCGAACGAGAAAGACGATGCAGAGCAGCGACGCAGGGACGCAGAGAGGGAACGTCTCAGTCGAAGACCGACTCGAGCTCAACTACCACGAAGGCAGGCTGAAGCAAGGCGTGACGAGACGAAACAGGAGAAGACAGCTGAACCGACGCCAGTGGAGGCTCCAAGGATGGAGATGTTCCGATGTCTGAAATTCCCTGCGGAGACCGGCGACAACAAGCCAGGCCCCAGGACTCCTCTTCAGCGTGCCATGTCAGAGAAACAGGTACTGGCACCACCCACACGGGCTGGTCCGGACAGCGAGTCAGGAGCAAGCCCACAGAAACCTGCTCCTCTCACTCCCATTCGGGGAAGATCCATCTCTGCTCATCGGTCTTCGCTTGGGAGACAGAAAACCTCTGTACAGCAACAGTTCAATCTCAGTCCTGGGCCAAGCCGCAGTGGCTCTAAACAGCGTCAGGGCGTAAAAGTCGAGGTAGAGATTCGTGATAGCCCGGAGCGCGAGGCGCGGGAGAGGGGTGACAAGATTGTCATCGTCAGAGCAGATGTTTCAGAGATGGACGACGAGGGGAGATGATTGGGGAATAGGTTATCCAAGAATGCGCAGAAGGACAAGACAGACTTTATCAAGATGCATGGCTTTGGGGCGGGTGAAACGCCGTAGGAGGTTTATATGGAATGGGTGAAGAGTGACATGGGTGCTGCTAGCAAGAAAGCATAAGGAGGGACGCGTGTCGGTTTGGTATAGGTACAATTATCTTTTAACAAGCACCTCGTGCCGCATGCCTTTGAAGCATGAATCCAACTCCAATGGTGGGCCTGCAAGGCAATAGTCTGATTTATATCGATCATCCACGGAGCTTCCAAATTGCAATCGACACATCACTATGGAGTACCTTGGATCTATGCTGTCGGCTCGACCAACTGTGGAGAGCGCCTCGTTTATGGACATTTCTAGCCATGATCCCCATAAGGACCCATGAAGAGTTTGACTTCGAGTAATTCCCGTTCATTCGTTCGGAAACGGGATCCATTCTGGCGTGAGTACTCAAGCACTCAACTCCGCATTCTCACCCTCCATACACTTTTTGGTGTCGAGAGAGTTGGGGAAATGACGACCTAGGATCAGGGCGCGCTTACCGGTAGGTACCTGGCGAATACGGAGGACTCATTGACTATCCAAGGGAGAGAGCAGCGCATTGCTCACGGGAAATTCGTCGCGGAGGCCAGGAGGAGGACGTGTTTGCTCAATCAATCAATCGCTCAATCAATCGATTGACATACATGACACAGATCAAATATCTTTCTTGCAGAAGGCCATCCCGTCTGAAAAATTGTGAATTGCTCGTCGTAACTGATGCCAGCAGACTGATTGTTCTTAACCGGTCCTCGACTCGAACTGAACCTAGACAAAATCCAGTGTCACACTCCTGGTCACACAGTCAAACCTAGGTACTCAGACAACAAGACCCTTTGTCTTAGCTGGGTCGGGTCACATTCACCCTTGCCATTGCGAGCTAGCTCATCCATCGTTTCTTTCTCTTTTCACCGCAGGTTGTTGTTATTCTTGAAGGGCGGGTATACCAAAACCCAACGCCCAAGCGTCGTTCACGCTCCTTCTTGCTCTTGGACGTCATTGCTCTCTCGCTCTTCCTCGCCTCCCGCGAACCCCTTTGATCGCATTGGCAGTCACAGGACTAGTGACCAAAGCACACATGACGCCGAAGAACAAGAATATCCCGAGAGCAATGTATATGCCTGTGGTGTAGGCAGAGGATGGTGGTGAGGTGATGGTGGTGTTTACACTTGCGGACGTGGATGTCTCGGTTGAAGGTGACGGAGAGCTGAAGGATACAGTAGGAGGAAATAAGAGTGGCGATGATGTGAGAACGGTGGTCATCGACAGAAACGAGGCAGACAATGGCGGTAGAGGAGTCGAATTTGAACTCCCCACCGCCGTTGAGCTTGCACTGGGAGCCAGATCGACCTCGTTTACAGTGGCAGGTGTCGGACCTGGGTCTGATGTTGTTTGTGAATCTTCACCTCGCCATTGGATCCACACAGTCTCGACTGACGGATCGGGCCCCGTGATGGATGGGACGAGGAAGGTGTGGTCCATGATCCCCATAACTGACTTGCTGAACCTGAATCTTGTGGGTGACTGGAGGCCTGTCGCAATCACGCGGTGGTTGGAGGGACGACAGGGAGGATGCCACGGAGAAAAGGAATTCGAGTCGTTATTCTGTATGCGTGCCATTGGGGACGTTCAAGGGACTGTCGTGGTGGGCTGCGCAAGGAAGGCACGACTTGAACGGAAAAAGTGAGATGAGGCAGTCGCGCCAGACGATGAATGGGTGGTGTGCCAGTGGTTGAGATCGCCCGACTCTTTCCCGCCCGCTATTTTTCAATGAGCGTAGCGGAATGTGTGGGCGAAAAGCGAGTGTGAGCTGGCGATCGCGACGGCGAAGTTGAACCTGACAATGTTGTAGTTTGCGTTGGACTGAGAGAACAGCACGGCCGGAGGTGGGTTGGTGAGAGGACGAGATGATCATGGCACAGGATCGAAGAAGTTGGTGTTCAAGAAGCCGGGTCGCTACATGGCAACGGAGCAGCAGGTGGTGAGTGAAGTGAGGACACGAGGTTGGGTATCTAGTGATGAGTGAACTAACACAGCACCGCACCCACAGTTCAAGAAGAAAGTAGAGGCCCGCTTGCACAGCTGCTGATTCATTCAATGCCGCCCTTTGGTATTGGTTTGCTCGCTTGCGTCTTCAATGGTTACTCATTAAGCCCGCCCGAGGGATGAATACTAGGCATCCTGTTCAAGAGCGACGTCTGTTGCTGAAGCCGGTGCGGCACGTCCATGGACTTCACCAGCCTCGCCCTCGCCGGTCTGCCCCGTTGGCCCAGGATTTTCCAATGTTGATGGCCCGCCTGAAGCCGGATGGCCTTTCAGAGGAGCTTCGTCTTCGGCATCCATTTGTAGTAAGAAGGTTTCCCACAATTCGATGAGCTGTTGGTCTCGTTAGCACAGTTTTCCTCTCTTTTGGACAACACCACCATACCTCTTTCTGGGCCTCAACAGCACCCTCCAGAAACGTTTCCACACCGCTCTTGAAATCCTCGACTTTCTCGCGCTCAAATCTCTCCAGTTCTGCCCTCATCAACCGACCCATGTCTTCAAACAATAATCGAGCCTGGTGTGCTTTTTTCTCGGCGTCGCTAACACTGGCGCCGACTTCATTCAGCTTGTCCTGTTGGCTTTTACCCTGCCGGAGAAGCTTCTCATGAGCGCTTCGTCGTTTGGCGAGTTCACTTTCTGCGGCGTGCCATGAATGGAATGCCTTCTGCCTCTGTGTGAAGGCTTGCTTTACACTGCCAATAAGTCTGATATACTCGTCCACGGTAATCCCAAGAGTCAAAACATCTTGTTGTGCTTGTCGCTCATACAGCTCTCGGATCCTCATCTGCACATCCGACAACCCTTGCAAGGGACCGGAGAAGGTGGGTGACAGGTCGACCTGAGCAAGGCTATTAACCGATGCGGCGAATTCTCCGGCCGCGGCAGCAAGACCTTTCCTTTGGTCAACAACAGTGTCGACAGCCTTCATTAGGGCCTTCAGCTGGTTTTCTAAGGCGTCGAGGTAGACTCTGCGGTCATGGAACCAATCATCGTGCTCAACGAACTTGCCGCTAGACGAACCAACATTGATCCCAATAGCACTCAACATTCCCTTATTCTGACCCAAGTCCGGCTCCCTGTTTTCCTTGTTTTTGACATCAATGTTGAAAGCGTCACTTTCGAGGAAGATTTTGAGGTCGGCATCATGGTGCAGGATCGGGTGAGCGGCAATTTTGTTGAGCATCCGCTCTAAGGCTTGACGTCTTGACTCGACAAACTCGCTATCAAAGCGGCCGACGGCTTGCTTCTCGGGAGGCGGAGGGACGACCACGCCCGGGTTGTTGTTATGCAATGAGTTGTACAGCCAAAGAAAATCCCGATACCGGCGTGATACGGCAAACTCGGGCTGCTTGTAAGCTTTTGAGGTTGTCTACAGCCCATCAGCAGTTGGAGCATGTTCCTGTCCAACTCACATACCTTTGTACGGACTTGATACACGATGTGACTGCTTGTCAAATCCCCAACCTTGTGTGGATCGCCCACCAGGATTTCGAAAGTTGGTTTGGCGGCTTGTTCCACGCTCACACTCGACGGGGTCTGTCGGATTGGAGGAGCGATCGTCTGTGACTGAACTGGCGGCGGACCCTTGGGTCTTCCGGGAGGAAGAGTGGTGTCTTCATATTCCGAACTGACAAAACCGGGGGAGGTCGCAGAAGGCTGTCGATTCACTCTTGCTGTGAGTTCTTTCCTCGGTGGGGTCGGCGCTTGATCTACAGATATGGCAGATGCTGCAGGAGCTGGCTCTGCGCCCAAGGGACCGAGAGGATCTAGGGAATCGTCCACAGCTTCGAGCTTCGTCGGTTGGACCTCGATCTTTCGAGCCGGGATTTTTCGTGATGAAGGAGGACGCGGGCCAGAAGACGGGGTCGGTTTTGTGGAAGGAGGGGCTGTTTCGAAGATGAGCATGAACTCAGCGACTCTTCAAATGCATATTCGTACCGTCATTTGGTTTGGCCGAGCTGGCCAGATCTTGCGGGTTCTCTGACTGCGACTGAGATGGAACATCTGCCGAAATGGTCAGCATGATCAGCGACAATACGCTCGAGAACCAGTCGCCTACCACCCCATGGTGAGTCATCCATATTTGCAAGTATGAGCGTTGAAAAGGACTGTGTTGTCACTGCTGATTGAGAAAGAGATGACTATTGCCTGGACCTCTACAGAGTGCAATGCGGAGCAAAGCAGCCAAACTCGCCAATTCCGGCTGGCTTGGCACCCGCTCCCCGCTCCATCAAATGCCTACCTGCGGTCATAGTATGTATTTCGTGCCTACTGCTCTAGAAGACGTGAATTCTTTGGGCACCAGTGATCCGACCATCGTTGCCCCTCCAGGCGCTTGTGGATGACGTCGCCCAACGACTTATTGTATGGCCCAATTATCAAAGCTAATATTGCAATGTGTAGCCCAAAAAGCAGCATGGTAATGTAACCAATGTTGACCTTTAGGCCAGTCTTTGGACACGCACATAGTGTACATTAACGAGCCTGTCTCTGCTGGTCCTTCCGCTATGCATGTGTGACGCCCAATGCGATGCAGAAATGCCCATAGTACATTTACATATTGACGTTTGTCCTACTTTTTCCCACCCTGTTTTGGCAGCGTCTGCTGACTTTGTTGGCTTCTTTCCTGGCCAAATGAGCTGACGAAGTCCAACAAGTTGATGTCGTCCTCAGCAAACACGTTCTGCTCCTCCTCAAATGTAGGCTCTTTTGTAGGCGCGGCTCTAGTCTCTGTTGGGGAAGTGTCTGTGGCGATGGTCGCGGCGACCTGGTCCGTCTTCTTTGCCGTCTTTGAACTATCAAAACTTGTACCGAACCGAGCTCGAAAGCTTGCCAGCCTTCCTGACTCGTCGTCTTCAACGTTCAGAAGCTCCTTGGAGGTCGGGTTCCACAGGGGAGAATTTCTGGTGTCGCGGGTCGACCTATAGACCGGTATCGGGGAAGTCGTTCGCATGGTGAAGGCACTACCGTCGGAGAGCGTTACTAGTTGAGTAAAAGTATAGGGCCGCTTCGGTCGCTTGATGAGCCGCGCATGCCGACATGCTTGACAGATATAGGTTGTAGAGGTAGTGGCCGAAGATGCTAAGCTGGGTAATGCATTCGGTCGCAGGCAGGGCCGCAGTGCTACAGACATTCTTGTCTTCAGATGGTGTGCTCGATCGTTGGGGTGGGCCAGTAATTCTGGTTCGCCAATTGATTCTCCCTCACTTTGGGGCGATGCACGGCGACTGAAGTTGGAATCGAGGATCAATGAAATGGGTGTTTATATGGAGAAGTCAATTGGGACGGAACGACTAACTTCACAGTAACACGAATATCTCTGCCAAGGTGAGTAAAACCAGTACCCACTCGAGAGACCCGTGATTCGCCCCCTGTGAACCACCCCAGCACGCTCATCGCCGTAATCGACCCTCCAGGTTTCGAGCATATCCGAGCCTACTGTTTATTGTCCAATGCAAAATGAACTGGTTGAGCTTTGGCCTCAGCTTCGCCTTCCCCCCTGGCCCGCCTGCATCGTCTAGCTTGTCGTCGTTGTTGTCGCTGGACCAGCTGGATCTGTTTCGAGAGGGGTTGGCAGTTCTCCTTGTAGAAGTTGCACAGGCGACGAAGCTCGGCCTTTACCAGCCATCTCCAGCGCTATTGGAGTGATAGGCGGGCATTGTGCATACAACGAGATGGGATAGCCAAATTACGCCGTTACAGAAACTGAATTGCGAAGTACTTCTGGGCAGCTTTCTAGTGTTGGAAGTGGACGTATACCCAACTGTGAGTTTGCTGCTTTAGTGGGTTCTATGCGCAACTGCAAAGATTGACTGCAAAGATTGACACGCTCAGGATGTTGCCTCTTCCTGATGCGGTTTCAGGCCACGGACCACTGCACTTGTACTTACCAGTTGTATCCAGCACTAACTCCCAGTTTATTGGCGACCTGCATGACGGGTTGAGACGACTCCAGCCACGGCGCCTACCCGCAAGCGCAATTCAGCCCACGGATATCTGTCCGGGCCAGCCTCATGTGCTGCCTTTGTGTTGTTTTGTCTGAATACGGGCAAAGCAAACTGTTGACCCCCATTTCAAGTCAGCTATGATCCGCCATGACACGCAAATCTTGTGAAGCCAGCACACGCAGCGGCATGCCATCCCGGTCAATCATCTCAATGGACTCCTATGCCGTCCTAAGAGGCACAGCTTGTTGAAGAAGTAGCAGATGCATGCGGCTGCAAGGAAGACGTGGTAAGCACATTACTTCAGGTACGTCCCGAGACAACTCCCCCTGGACTCCAAACGGGTGCCGCCGTGTTGACACTCGTATCATACTAGCGCGGCAATAACGATGTTGAACGTGCAATCAGACAAGATGGTATACGAAATCGGTATCTGAGTAAAGGGCGGCTTAATCGACCTCGATTTGATACTCCAACAGAATCAGAGGTGGGGTTTTCGGTTGAGTTGCTTTCTCTATCGCCCTCCAACTCCAAGCAGCTACAGAACATGAACAAGTTGCAACAGAGGCCTGCAGTCGATGATGAGGTTAAGATCGGAACACTTTTCAGTGCCTGAGATGATTCTGGGAACCTGTTTCAGGCGCAATATCTCCTGGATGCTATTCAAGTCAGTCCCATCCCAACACACAGAGTTCAACTCGACCGTGATGGCAGCTACGAATCTGCTTTGAAGGCACGATTCCCCCTTGCAGTGCGCAATACAAGGCGGGGCGGTGATCAAGGAGAATTGCGTCAGTTATTGCAGGAATATCTTGCTGGTGACGCATCTCCCAGCAAGATCGCAAGCGCCGACACTTCGGACACTGATGCTGTAAATATTCTTGACGAGCTCGTCTCCAAAGGAGCTGCATATGTCAACGGCGAAAACTCCGTTATCATCAAAGAGCTAGAAAGACACGGGCATGGCGAAGCTTCCACCTTACATTTCTACTCCTCTTGTCTAGCTGACGATTTGGGTCCATCTTGGTTGCTTAATTATAACTGATTCTTGGAGTTGCTTCAGAGTCGAAGCGAGACGAAACCCACACTATGTGCTATCTACGGTGATAGCGCCAGAGAAGATGCGTGCCGTGATGGTTGCCACTTCTCTTACCTCCAAATGGGAGAGCAGATCACGCAAGACCTTCTGGGGTATGAAATGTTCATGAGTGAAAAGAACTTCGCGAGATGTCCCTTGAGCACCTTGGAGACCGGAAACATCAGCAAGCTGGTAACGCGACGATTTGTGACAATGCTATGACCATCCCCTCAATGCAACGAGCAAATAGATTGTCAATGCACATGCCCTGGTTGTCTGGAAAAATCGAATATGGAACTATCGACGACTATTTCTATTGCAATTGTCGCAGGACCAAGTTGTCTAACTACTATTTCCAATGTAATGGGTCATCGCACGGCCCTGAGTTCAGTCAACATGACGCCAACCTGATGATCAAACTGCTCCGTAACCTTGCGCCCTCAAAATAGGAGAACATCTTGATTCTCCGTGAAACTGGAGTGAGAAAATCCACTTTTATCAACGCCAGGGTCAACTACCTAGAATTTGCAACCCTAGACGACGCTATGGCTTCCAATAACTTGTCCTAGGTTGTTCCCTGCTCCTCCTCAACTCAGACCATGTTACCAAGACAGTCCAGGTGAGGAGACTAAGGAACATTTCGTCTGCGTTGGGTCTATAGACGATGAAAACGACGGCAGCAAAGGCGACCTCAGCGACTCAGCGAACGACTGTCTATCCTGTGACGCTTTCCTCCGGCTCTACAACCTGCGCAGCACGTCTCATTGATACTCCAGGGATTGGCGACACACGCGGTCCAGTGTACCAAAAAAAACATGATGGACTTTCTTGCCACGATTAGCAGCTATGATGGGTTGCGTGCGATATTGATACTTCTTAAGCCAAACAATTCTCGATTGAGGATAACATTTCGATACTGTGTGAAAGAGCTCCTGGTCCATTAGAGCGCTGCTCGAAACATGGTATTTGGCTTTACCAATACGCGATTCACGAACTACGCTCCTGGCGACACCATCCAACCTTTAGAGAGACTCCTGGGAGAGGACACCGATGCAGGACTTTCGCTCCCAGCCAACGCGACGTATTGCTTTGATTTGGAGAGCTTTCGTCACCTTGCAGGGTCAAAGAAAGAAATTTGCATGACAAACAAAGACGACTTTGAGCGCAGCTGGGGGCATTCTCGTGATGAGACACTGCGCTTGATTGGACATTTCAAATCAATACTTCCCCATCTAAGGAAGAGCGCAATGAGCCCGAATGGAACCCGCAGGAGCATACAGGAACTCACGAGGCCAATGGCGGACATGTCGCAAATGATCAGGAAGAACATCGCCCCCTGTACAGACAAGAAAGTCGAGCTCAAAGACAAACGGATTGCTACCCTCGCGCTCCGCGCCAATCTTCGCGTTGTGAAGATATCCAACTAAGCCAGAGCCACTGGACATGCCTAGAACTGTGTGTGCTCACACGAGCTGCACCGAGGTCAAAGAAGACGGGACTGGCCGAAACGAGGAAGTCTTCGTCTACAAGACACACTGCCGTGCCGAATGTGACCTTCACAATATGCCCCATGATGCTCTAGCCCCTCCAGATCTCATTCATTGTGCAGCCTTGGGGGGCTCGAATCAATGCCATCACTGCCAGCATCACTGGTCAGAACACATGCGTGTCATCTACGACCTCAAGGAGCACATTGTGCCTGTAGTAGACAGCACCGTCGAAGTGTAGCTCAGGGACCACGCCGACGACATCACACTCTGTAGGACCGCAACTACGGACTTTGGATAACATGGTCATGGAGTACGAGCAGGAGCATGACATTATCCGCGACGCAGCGGCAAAGTTTAGCATGTTCCTGAAGCAACATTCCATCACGCCCATCAACCATGCCACGGAGGCATACCTCCAATTTCTCATCAAAGCTGAACAAGAGAAAGTCGAAGTCGGCGGCAACGACGAGAAGCTTGGCGCCTTGAGAGAGGATCTCAAGCGCAACAAAGAGGCCGTGGAAGTGCTGACCTGCTCACTCAACTCATTTACGACCGCCACAGCGGAATGATCTCACCGAAGCAGGTGTTGGGACAACGGTTCGCATGCGGAACAACTTGAAATACATTGGCAAGAATTTGCAGTTTCTGCAACAAGATATCTCATTCGCGCATGAGACCACGAATAGAGACCTACCACTCAGTTATGAGGAGCAAAGCTATCAATGGGAGCCATCGCCACCCCCGGAAATTAGAGATTCAGAGCCAGAACCAGATACACAGCTCTTCCAGCGGCGGTACGTCGTTCGCGGCAACGCACCAGCAGAATAGCAACGGCGACATGTTCACGAAGATTATCCGCGAGGGACGGGCTCTGATTTCTTAAATGCTCAGGTTCTTCCAGGCCTGCATGCCTGCGGCGGCGGACCGGCCAAATTTTAGCATTTTGACCTGCGCTGACCACGAATCTAGCGACTTCAACATTAGAGGCTAAGCCTCAAGCCTACAGTACCCATATTTCCCGGGCAGTGAACCCTCAACAAGAAGGAAACCTTTTCTCTAGTTGTGCTTACGAATATCTTTGACTCTATGAAGCTGCAGCACCTCTCAGAATCGCGGTCGATAGCTCGACGTTCGGTGAGAAGTTTGATTGTCGCTAAATCTCCTTCGGGCAACGTAGCACCTTCATTTGATAGGGGGATCTCACCGAGGCCTGGTACCCCAACCAAGTCCAATCATCCTCCCAGACCGTGCTTAGGGCGAACTATCCGCTTAATAAGCCGTTCTTAAGGGAGTAAGTCGATCCCGGTGCTGAGCAGAGATGGCCAATATCTCGGTGCAAATAGCCTTCGGATCGATATGCAAAAGAAGTTCCTCAACTCTTCACCAGCGGCGGTAAAAGGCACCTTACATGCATGTTGAGTATCTGAAGCAATCAGGAAAAGCACCACGCCGTACGTTCGTTATGCGACCATGGCAAAGATCACTTTTCATTTCCTCCCTGTGAGGACCACGACCCTCAAGCGGACGAAGCGCGACGCCGAACTCACTGATGCCGAAGCCAAGTCCCATGCTCGGCGCTCCTCGCACATCCTGGCCAGACATCCCAAGCACAGGGTGTGCGGGCATTCAAAGGCCGGGTCGCAGTCCGTTTTGCGGCTCAAAAGAAGTTCAAGTGTGAGCCTTTCCTAACAGTTTCAAAGCGCCTGGGGGGATTGTGCCAACTACTGACATACGGCTTGTTGCTCGCCGCGTATAGAAACCCGGAAACATGTCTGCCAATGGTATCCAGGGCCAAGTTTCGGGGAGAATGCTCGCCCATGTACCGCCCAGCATTGGGGACTCGGCCGGATGCGATCCTTTCGTCCGCTTTCCTTGCGTGACTGGTTCAGTTGAGCACAAGTTGTTCCATTTCCGTCAGCCTCAAGGCTCCTTCTCTTCCTCCTTTCGCCTGGTTGTCCAACTCAACTGACCGAGGGGCCTTCCACAGTCATGTCTTACGTGCCGGGCAGATTCTACGGCACGAGACCCTGGGCGGCATACGACGTGCTGCGAGACTCGGTGATGCCCGAGATACTGACAGGGAGTGCCTACATGTCTCTTGCCCTGTACGTGGCCGCTTCCATCGTCAACACGCTCAAGCCACAGCCCGAGTTCTCTGAAGAGTGGATGCTCGCGCGTCAGTCGACAAATTATCGACTGTTGAGACAGCTGCTGAGAAACCAGCAGGGCCACCCCTGGGACTGGGCTATAACATGCGTGGTCGTTGCGGGCTACGCCGATGCCATGGCCGGACAGGCCGAGAGGGGTCGTAAGCATACAAAAGCCGGTCTCGACATGCTCCAGGATTTTCGAAACCTTCAACGAATGAGGCTCTCGTCGGGATCCATCGCTTTCAAAGCCTTCCTGCAAACCGGTGTCCCCATGATGTTTACGACCAGTGCTTCACTCGAGACAGCAATGTGCAACGCATGCCAGAACGTGCGACGGATCCAATCTTGGACCCGCTTCAGGCGGAACTCCCCTTGCTTCAGCAGCCATTGCCAGTATCACTCCCTCGAAGTGGTTGCGAGTCACGATTCTGCGCAGGCTGCAGCCAGCTTCGACGGACAGTGCCGTTACTGGGCGACACGAGAGCTTGCTCTTGGATCGACAACGGCGATGGGCCGCCTACTGGCGCCCAAGTTGGTCAAAATGCCCGTTTCGGACGAGAGGCTGCTGATGGCAAGTATCTATGCTCTGAATGGCGTCCTCTGTAACCTGCAAGATGACGACAGCACGGCAGAGAGATTCCTAGGCGACATTGGGGAGATGATCTCCAACAGTCTGGAGGAAGGCGTGGACCTAAGCGTGCCCCCGCGATTTGCCATGCAGAACTGTATCCACATCATCATCGCGTGCGCCGAGAGACACGGCTTGTGGTCCTACCATGGTCCCACCCAGCCCCTGCCTGCGATGCGCACGTGGGAGGCGCTCGAGTTTGTGGAGATCATGATGCTGATCCGTCCTGAGAAGCAGCACGAGATAATGGACGCGATGCGCCGTTGGCTCTGCTGGGAGTCGGAATCCCACGAGACGACGGAAACTCTTCTCTTCGCCGACGAACGAGAGCTGGAAGAATTCAAGCGTGAGATCACCGCCAACTGGGAAGTTCAGCAGCAGCAGAAGAATCAGGAGAAGGAGAAGCATGAAAGCGCGGAGGCGAGAGGAACGGACCCAAAGCCCTGACTGTTGCATCATCGAAGAGCCATTACCACAGCGAGACAAGACGAAAGGACGTAGGGAAAAGGCTCGAGGGAGACATCCGGGGGTAGGGGGCCCCGTATGAGAGCGAGTGGTATGGTGCAAATGGACGGTATCAAACACGCAGAGCTCGGCATCGGTGCTCGGTCAAGAAAGAGAAGAGGCAATGTCCATTGATGTTGCCGCTTCATGGGTTTTCCCCATCCTTCAACAGAGACCTCATTTCAGTAAAGTCGGTTTTTAACACGCAACCATGCGCCATAACCTTAACACTCTTGGTAAGGATTATTTATTTTTTCCCCTTTCAATGTGAAAGGACTCTGACCGGTGGATCAGTCTGAATTTCTGGTTTCAAGCAGGGCTATTAGCCAAGGGGTAGGTTGTCTGATGGTTCTTGGTGTGGGTACTGGACGTATTTCAGACGCTCCCAAGTCAACCTTCAAACCGAGCCCTGCTTGCTTGTTTTTCTCTCCAAACACCTTCTCCTATATCGATATCCTCGAATGCGTGGCGCCGGTGAAAGAAGAGAGAGTGCGCACGTGATATCAGAATCGCTTCGCAGACGAACGCCAATCCCGCCATACCGTGCAACAACCAAATGTCAAATTTTCCCGTTGCCCCCTTGAGGGCAAGGTAGCCAGCTAGAAGCAAGTGCTGTCTGGAATGCTGTCGGCTTTGGTGGTTTGGTTAATTGGTCTGGAGTCAATCCCAACTCGACCTCCGGCCTTCCGGGAGACTATTTGGATTGTTTTCATTTTCCTTTTGGATCTTGCTGGTGGTGATGGTCAATGAAAATTATCAGCAACTGCGGCTTCTTAAGTCTCGTTAGTTCGAGTGCCTGACAGGCATTTCTGCCAGGATTTTCGGTCGGATTTCCTGCCGCATGGTCTTGGGGTGAGGTGGACCGGGTAGAAATGAAAATAGAGACCGGCCATTTGATTCCAAGAACTACGTCGGGCCAGGTTTCCTCCCATACACATTGTAACTGGGGCCGTGTTAGTCCTTGAGCCCCTCCATGCCGTCAAACCACCACGGGCTCGAAACTTACTAGAAGATGTAGCTGTGCATCTTTGGATTTTGTAGTTCGCGTTTGGTCTCGTCAATAAGGATTTGCAGTTCTTCAGGATTCCCTCCCAGCATGGTAGTGTACCCTCGGAGAAGGTAGGCGTCGAGTCCGTTTCTGAGACTGAAGTTTTCGTAGGCGCCGATGATCTTGAGCCGCGCGTCTTTCGGCCAGATGCCTTGGGGGACCTTGTAAATGGTCTCTGTGACGTCGACGAAGCCGGCACGCTCCATCTTTTCTCTCCACAGAGTCGGCGCGTTCAACGGCGTGCCCATCGCTTCGGCCATCTCAAAGAACAGTCGCTCGACTTCTTTCAGGTGTGAAGTCGCCGGCAGCGTGTCGTCGTCAGAAGTCGGGGTCGGGTAAGTGCCCCCGACTTCCATATAAGCCCCAGGCCGGAGGTGATCAAATGCCTGTTTGAACAGACGGTCCCAGTCGCGCACGGCCATGATGAGCTCGCGAGCATGTATAAAGTCGAAGTCGGTGGTGGAGTAGAACCACTCGTCTTCGATATCTTGGATCTCGAATCCACAATTCGGCGGCACCCATTCAGGTTGCACGGGCGCGATGTCGACGCCAGTTACCACTGCCGTCTCGTAGTGATCGGCGGCTTCTATTGCCCAAATGCCCGACCCTGTGCCCAGGTCTAATATCCTCGTCGGCGGGTCTTGGATTGGGGCACGGTGTAATGCTCCACCAATGATGTGTTTGAACTTGACGTGCTGGACGTTGTTGCGTTCCTGCTCTCTTTCGTCGATCGGAAGGCCGTACATGTTTCTGCCATACGCGGGATATTGTCGGCCGTTCTCTTCAATACCGTCGCGGATGAGCGACGAGATGGAAGACACGTAGCTGCTGGAAGCCGTTGATGCCGAGGCGTACGTTTCATCTTCAAACGAGTCATATTCATCAACATGGATGAGGTTCTCGTTGTGTGCTGCCATTACAGCAATGCAGCTACAGTTAGCTGAAAGATCTTAGATTGGAATGCGGAGGAGAAAGTTGGACGAACAAAGCGACACGTGGCGAGGGTCCATAAAGGCCAGGAATACCAAGCCTATTGCGTATTAGTTACCCGCCCGCGCCCGCCTTATCTGCAAGCTGGCGTTGTTTTTCTTCGCCGCCATCACGAACCAGATGGGGAGCGAGGGGTTCCGTCCCACTCTTTTACCGTGCGACAACCTTCTCTGTTTCTCGAGATCAAGTTCCCGTCGCGGGGCACCTGGAGGACGCCATGGCACCATCATCATTGCCTTCACATATTGACATGGACGTCATCTCCAAGCTTTTGCAAGATGTCAATGAGCACGTACGGGCCTTTAGCTCAGGAGACCTCAAGACACGCGAAGCAGCGATTGGGTCTTGTCGGTCGCTTGCCTCAGCCCTGGAAACTCCCAGTGAGGCGGTTGTGAGAATGACATGGGTCGAGGTCAGTGTGCAGTGCTATTGTTGACCAGGCCATTTCCCTCTGACCTAGAACGGCCACAACAGCCCAGTCATCTTGCGGCGCTGCGCATGGCTGTTGATCTGCGGCTCTTCGACCACCTTGCGGCCGGACAGGGCTGTCCAAAAAGTAGCGATCAGATTGCGGCGGCGTGCTCAGCAGAGCCGTGGTTGGTTGGTTCGGCCAGCCCGTTTGACAAACCATTCCATGCTTCGTCGCCTTGATGCTGATATAAGTGCTTCTCCCAGGACGGACGATGAAACATCTCGCTGCGATGAACAGTCTTCGTCAAGTGGACGCAGATAGCTATGTGCCCAATCCATTTGCACAAGCTATGACGCAGTCGATCTTCAGAGAGAGCGTTGTTTTAATGTGCGTCACTTGACATGGACGTGAAAGACGAACTGCCTCAACATGAAACTGACGCATATGTGGCCTCTGTGGACAAGCAGGCACGATATCTGCATTCCAATCAACATGAAGACGGCGGAATTCTTTGCAGAGAATGGCTATACAAGCCCCATAGACCCCCTCAACACACCGGCGCAACATACATTCAATGCGAAAGGCAAGACACATATCTTGGACATATTCGCGCAGCGTAGGCAGACTCAGGGACTTGCCAGTATGATGGCTACATGGATGCTCGATCGACCGCATTGGTCCGATGACGACTTGGGATTCTATCCTGTGAAGCAGCGACTGATACAAGGTGCGACTGGTGAAGATGATTCGGTCTTCCTCGTGGATGTCGGAGGCAGCACAGGGCATGATCTGGAAAAGTTTCTCGTTCGACACCCATTTGACAGCTTTCCAGGCCACCTGGTCCTGCAAGACCGAGTTGAGGTCATCGAATCGATCCCTGAAAATGGCTTGAAGTCTGGCATTCGCGCGACTGCCCATGACTTTTTCACCCCGCAACCGGTACAAGGTAAGTGCAACAACAATTTTTTTTTTCTGGGCTTGGAATCGAGTCCTTCAAGCTTGTAGCGTCTTGTCTGATATGCGCGTTCAACGATCTGCAGGGGCGAGGACATATTTTTTGCACAGTATAATCCATGACTACCCGGACGACAGGGCGCAGTTGATCCTGAAGCATATCGCCAGAGCAATGAAGAAGGGGTACTCTAAACTTATCTTGTGGGATTTCGTGCTTCCAGAGAAGGCCGTTGCCCCAACCTTGTCAGCTCTTGATTGGGAAATGATGTCCTTTTATGCGGCTAGTGAGAGGTCAGAGGGTCAGTGGAAGACATTGCTCGAAGATCCCGAGATCGGGTTGAAAGTCAATGGAATCTGGAACTACAGTCAGTTCGACCAAAGTGTGATAGAAGCAGAACTAGCTTGAGTGGCGTCGAGGATGGCCACGTTGTGTCCCTTTGATATCTTGGCCAGTTTCCAATTCGACGTTGTTATGATAGAAGGAAAGCTGACGTCGAAGGTAACTGGAAAAGGGGTGAGTCGTAGAGCCGACGCGGATGAAGATGTTTAAAGCGGTTAGGGACTAAAGTATTCCTTGTACAGGATACAGGGTAGGGAATAATATGGAGCACGAAGCACTTTGCTATGCCAAGGCTGCGCCCACCACGCGGCGAGCGCCGGGTACCTGGCGGTGTTTGCGTGCTTTGCCTGCGCAACCTGTGCAAGCTGCGACCTGCGCCACCTGCGCCGCATGTTGTAAGAGGCAGCTTGTTGTCTTCTCCAACTACGGCTTCTCCTGGTCCAGAAAGTGTCTCTTGCCCATGCGATTCTAGATCTATCCCTGCCTGACCAACGACTCTGTCCTCTCTTTCATGGTCTCTTCCATAGCCCATTATTTCGTCTTCCTTGCCGTCCTCCGCCTACAATGTCCAACCCCAAAGTCGCTACTGATTTCGATGCAATAATTCAGGCTGGTATTTAACTCCGTATCATTCTTCGGTGCGCCCACGTGTCCACTAACTGAGTTTTCAGATCGACAGCGCAAGAAGAACGAGGCACTAGCAAACGAGATCTTTGGCAGGAATAAAGCGAACAAGAGCACCCCGAGAAGCACTAGCAAAGGCTCTTCAAGGACACCCGATCTTGCGAGTCGCATAACAAAGGTATAATCAAACAAAAAGTCCTGTCAAAGCGGGAAGTACTGGGAATCGTGTGGGACTTCTGGCTGATGGAAATGGCTGGTATAGCGATCTTCATCTGTTGCCAGCACAGGCTCTTCCCGTAACAATCTATTCTCTACGTTGTCAAGACCATCGTCAGCAACCCCTCAAAATGCACGCTCATCTCGCCTCGCCTCCGCTCTCGAGTCTTCGCAGGCCAACATTATATCCTCTCAACAAAAACCAAGAGGCCCTGGTCTCAGCATTAAAGGCAAGGCAGGGCCATTCGTGGTGGAAGCCAGCAATTTCGCCCCAGGTACAACCGCTGCCGATATCGAATCCGCTTTACAAGGTGAAACAGTGGACGAAAATGGCGTCAGTGGGATGCTCTCATGTCGACTCGTGAAGACGAGCCCAGTCGTTGTAGCGGAACTGGTGTTTACCGAAAAGCAAATGGCGGAGCAGATTATATCCACTTATCACAATCAAAAAGCCGACGGGCGTATCTTGCGACTTTCCCTCAAGCGAACCGGTCCCGGTTCTATCTCGACTTCGCAATCCAACCAACCGGACACCAGCTCCGCGCCTGAAGCGGTGGAGCCGGAACCACAACCTCAGCCCAGCAACGAGAGCACCATGGAGGATGTAGAGATGGAAACGGAGGGAGTGGCTTCTCATGACAATCGACGCAGTCGGGAACCCAGGAACGCCGAAGCGGATGTTCAAGACGGACGCTATGGCTTTGAGGAACCGCAGACTTCAGATACACATGCACGTCACGCCGACCGGAGGGGGGAAGATGATCGACGAGACAGAGACCGAAACTATGACCGTGACCACGACCACGACCAAGAGCGAGAGCGCGAGAGAGAACGTGACCGGGACCGGGACCGTGAGCGCGACCGAGACCGCGACCGAGATCGCTATGACCGCCGCGACAGTCGACCTGCGGGACCCAGCTCCTATCGTCGCGGCGACAGACCCGATACCTACAACTCACGGCCCTCGCATTACGGCAATGGGGTCGGCGGGACTCCGGGGCCTGGAAGAGGGATGTTTGGCGGCGGTGTACAGGGACCTTTCCCTCGAGGAGGGGGGCGGATGTACAGCGACGACATGATGCGCGGCGGTCGAAGAGGAGGAGGACCTGGCGGGTTTGGGCCCGGAGGCTATCCAAGGAGAGGAGGGTACTAGTGATTCCTTTCTGACCTTGACTGAGCCTGGGCCCTGAGAGCGAGCGACTGCAAGACAGAGAGCGCGCTGTGGACGGGCCTCATCAGCTTTTGTGTGATTTTGCACCTAGCAAACTCGCCAGTTTCTCCTGCTCTTTTTTTTCTTCGGCTGCTTTTTGATTGATCAAGTGGGTCGTTCTACAGAGAAGGGAAAACAAAACACTTCGGGCAGGCAACGAGAAGACGAGAAAAGTTCGAAATCAAAAAAAAAAAAATCAAAAAAAAAAAAAAAATCAGAAATGCTTGAGAGCCTAGAAGTCCACTGTCCGATTTCGATTCCGGTTTCGATTCCCTTGTTCATGTTCGTGCTTGCATTCCCTCGACTGCTGCCATTACACGTTCACACCTTCATGTGCTCGGAACAAGTTGACTGTCATGAACTCGTCTTGCATACCTAGTATTGATCAATCACTCAAACATAAACGGAACTCATGCCAGGCATCGTCTCCCCGGAGCCGAAAGCTCATCTATCGTCCTCGTTAATCACCCACCCAGAAAAACGCCTTGCTAGTCCGTACGATACACCTAGTCCGATGCCTTGTTTGTTTCTTTAGACGTAGTCCGACTCTCAAGGAACTCCCGGCCCTTTACGGACTCCCCCATCTCGAACAGCATGAGTTCGCTCAATCGCTCTTCAACATGCTTTCCACCAAGTCCCCGAGAGGGCCCCAATAATCCTTACCCCCGCCCTTTTCGAGGCCGTGTTCGTCCACAAACAGTACGAAATGCTTGAAACTCGTATTCAGGTGCGGTTCCAGCCCGAGGTGCACGATCACTTGATAATGGTGACAATAAATATGTGCATACACGCGATAGAGGCGCTTGAAGAGTTGTCGGACGGTGGAGGGGAAATGTTTAGGGAAGGGAACGCCGATTCGGGAGGGGAAAGTGCTCTCGTTGTCGATGTTGGATTGCACCCAAGTCATGAGATGTTCAATGTATTCTGGGGCGGGCATCTTGGTGGGTTTCGGGAAGCCGGTTGCGGCATCTTGCCAAAGGTATTCGAACCTGGAAGCGGCATTAGAGGTCACTGAGGCGGGGGCTGAGGGAAGGAGATAATAGGTCCACAGGACTTAAGACAAAGGGGTTCGCATACTCATCGGTGGCTTTCATCTCAGGGCATGATTGTGGGGAGCAAAACTCGGTGATGGATCCGTAAAGAAGGTTGATCTGGTTGTAGAAATCGACCACTGTCGCATGTCATGGCCCCTGTCAGCGATTCCTCTTCGTGATATCTCTCCTATCTCTGCCGAGAGACGTGTATGGTTACCGTTGACCGCAAGCCACTCATTTAGATCTTCTCCCTCAGGCAACTTGACAGCCTTCCTCAAACTGCCACTTCCTAGCGTCGCTTCGGCGAATTGTCTCAGCTGGTAGCTCGAGGTCCCCTTGTTGGCGCGCTGAGGCTTAAACTGGCCTCGAGTGCGGGCATTACTAGATGGTGAAGAACAACGGTCAATATCGTTATCGCACTTCTGAGAAGGGGAGGAAAATAGGCCCAGGCGGAGCAGTTGGGCGGCGCGGGAAGGCGTGGTGGGTGAGGAAGCGCCAGTATTGGGAGCCTCCTTGTCGCCATTATTGTCACACAGGGTGTAGGAATTGATCGTGACACATGAAGAGGATTGTTTCAATGTCAAGTGAGGGGAGAGAGGCTGCGGAGAGGGAGAGGAATTGAGAAACTCGTACATGGTTGTTAGGAACGACGCCATGTGTTGGACAGTGATCTCGTCTTCGACTGATGGAGAGTTTGCAGGTCAAATCTTTGTCGCGGTAATGGATTTCTACCGGTACATTCCACGAAGTCAGTGGTCAGAGTGTCCTAAGGTTGTGAAGTTATGTCGGGTGCATACTAACCGCCGTCAATCAAGCACGCAGTCAATCAAGTACCTGCCTTTTGTCCTTTGATGGCGCGGCAAGAAAGAGAGTCGACAGCGCCGGCGTCAGGGCGGAAATGGAGCCAAAGAAAAAAGACTGTGTGACAGAGCTTCTTGCAGAGCGTGGACTCGCTCTGAAAGATCTCGCCTGCAGTGTTCATCATCAGTAGTTCGGATATCCTTCCTACGAGAAACGATGTACCATAACTGAATCCCTTGGCAGCAAGGTAGCCACGGCAACAGGGAAAACTTCGGCATGTCTGCTTCGCCGTCAATCAACAGGGCACCGGCACCAGTCAAGCACCAGTGTACACTGTAGCATAGACCACGCAATTAGTACGGATTACGGAGTCCTCGGTACATGGTGACTCTCGATTGGAAAGTGCACCCCTTGGAGCGTCTAAGTTAAGCGATGGAAGCCAATGTCTTCGTATCTAAATCCGCCCATGATCTCAATCTCACAAAGCCCAAGGCCGTTGGGCATGAAGCAGTTCATGGCTGCGCCATTTGCAAACCAAGTCCATCCATCCACACTTCCGCAGATGACATGCACCTCGATGAAGAAAGACATACGGCATAAAAATGTCACCCGGTACCCCAAGTTCGCTAAAAGAACAAACCTAAACCCGCTACCAGTGTGGCTCACAACTTTGGCGAAGTCATAATATCTTGCACAAGGTCTCGGACTTCATTCTCGAGCTCTTGAGTCTCCTTGTGCGGATCGTACATTTTGTCCTTGATCCATGCTTCCAGTTGGTCATCGCTCATATCACGCAAGTGGTGCAGGCGGTCCACATTGTCTTTTTGCGCCGCGCGGATGACATACAACGCGACGCGAGCACTGACATCTCGAATACGTGCAATCGAAGGGTACAACAAGGCCTTCTCTTTCTCCTCCTCTGTTATCATGGTCGGCAGGGCCTCGCCAGACGCGTAGATCATGTTGGAAGTTACCTGGACGGCCTTGGACAGAATGGTGCCTAGGCCAATACCAGGGAACACATACATGTTGTTTCCTTGGCCTCCGTGATACACCTTGCCCTTGTGTATGACCGGATGGAAAGGAGAGCCGGAAGCAAACAGAGCTCGGCCGTCGGTATGGATGATTGCCTCCTCAAAGGTGCATTCTGATTTGGAAGAGGGGTTTGATAGCGGGAAGATGATTGGCCTCTCATTCCACTTGGCCATCTTTTGCAGGATCTCGGGGGTGAAGGCACCGCCGATCGTGCTCAGACCCATAATGATGGTGGGCTTGACATATTCGATAACGTCATCCAACGTCTTGAACTGTTGACCATTGTTGTCCGTTCGCGAGAAGTAGATCTTGTGTTCGGCGAGCCTATCACCCCGATCCTGAGTTACAAGGCCCTTACTGTCCACAAGCCAGAAACAAGATTTGGCCTCTTGCTCTGTCAGCCCTTCGTGCATAAAGTAGTCCACGATCTGCTTGGCGACGCCAACACCAGCTGATCCTGACCCGAGGAAGACTGCGCGATGGTCCTTGGGAGAGACGCCAGATTGCTTGATAGCGCCAATGATTCCTCCCATTATGACAGCGCCGGTACCCTGGATGTCATCGTTGAACATGGCATAATCTTGGCGGTAGCGCTCAAGGGAGGGAAATGGGTTCTTCCAGTCTTCAAATTGGATGACAATATCGGGCCAGCGCTCTTTCAAGGCCGCCATCAACTCATCGAGGAACTCTTGCTCTTCCTCTGGCGTCACCTTGTCTCTTCGGCTGCCCATGTATAGCGGATCTTCTTTCAAAGCCTTGTTGCTGGTGCCCAGATCAACGGTCAATGGCAGGGTGCCTTCCGGTCTGATACCTGCGCAGCCAGTGTACAATGCAAGCTTTCCAATGGGAATGCCCATGCCACCCACTCCCAAGTCACCCAGACCGAGGATGCGGGAGCCGTCGGTAATGACGGTGATCTCAACATTGGATTGAGGCCAGTTTTGGATGATAGTCGAAAGGTGGCCTCGATCCTCGAAGCTGAGATACATGCCCTCTGCTTGCTGGTAGATCTGTGACCACTTCTGACAGGCTTCTCCAACGGTGGGAGTGTAAACCAATGGAGTCAACTCCGTGAAGTGGTCGGTCAGCAAGCGGTAGAAAAGGTGGACATTGTTGTGTCTGATGGTGCTCAGATACAGAAACCTCTCGAGATCTGTGGGTTTCAAAGCCAATTGTGCCAAACATCTCTTCTTTTGGATCTCGTAACTCTCTGCGCGAGGAGGGGTGAGACCATACGTCTGCAGGTACTTGCGGACGGGGACAGAAAGAGAGGTGTCGAAGTGAGCTGCTCGATTGGGAACATGAGCAGTTGCGTGAGTATACTTGGGTCGATGGGTAATGGGAGTCTGAGGATTGGTGACTGAGGTGAGATTACCCACCGATTGGGCAACAGGTGCATCCAGAGACGCGGTGGTAGACATGGTTGCAGAGTGGACGAGGTTGAAGAGGTTTGGCCTCGACTTGGGATATCTTGAGATGTTGGAGAGCATCCGGAGAGCGCGAGGGAAAGGTAACGGGTTTATCAATGGTCCTGACTCCTCAACACAGAGGCTCGACTCCGAAGTGACACTCGGGCCGGCACCAACACACTGGGCTGAACGTACGGAGTATGTACGGAGTAGCTCAGAAAACGGGTATCAGGTGGGTTCGGCAGGAGTGTGAGTAAGTGGACTTGTCTCCCACGAGGTCAAACATATAGGAACGTGTCAACGCATGGGATAAACCGGGTGGAAAATGGTTTAACAAAGCAAACGCGGCCACCAGGGTAAAATAGTCACACCAGACTAGTCACGGATGGCGTATCATCAACGTTTTGACGAGCATCAATGAGAGTGAAGGTGGAGAAATGGGAGAAAAAGGAAAAGGGAAGGAACGGACATGAGGCGGCAATCAGCCGTGCGACTTGGGTGCGGTGAGAGAGGATTTTCAGCCTGTGAGGCGCTCATTTTGGTGAGCCAGAAGTTGTTGAATTGAAAAACTCAACTTTTTTTGTTTTTTTTGGAGGAAGCATCGGAGGACGGATGATTCATAAACAGCCGGACAGCCAATCCAGGAGCGCAGTTTTCGGAGTGA